ACTAATTATAAACATTAAATTTTAATAATTTTATTTATTATGTTTTTTTATCTAAAAATACTCTATTTTTTGCATACTTAAAAAATAAAAAACAAAGTTATTATATTATTAGTATAAAATATATATATATAGCTTGATCATTTTTTTCAAAAATAAGAAGTAAATTCAATAATATTAAAAAATAAATAGACAATGAACGTATCAAACTTTAAATATACTTTTAATTTAAACGTACATACTTACAACCAAAAGGGTAGTGCACATATACTTATATATATATAGTACGTAGTACTAAAAGTAACATGCAAATCAATAATCATGCACATCGAGGCTGGAGGGCTTTAATAGAAGTGTAATCGAGTTAATATAATGAGAAGTTTGAGTTCGAGTTCGATTTATAATTTGAGGTTTGATATTCAATTTGAATTCGATCGAGTTTTATTTTTCAAGTTCGAGTTCGATTCGTAATCGAATTCGAGTTATTCGAGCTCGCTTGATTAAGCTCGATTAAGCTCGATTAATATATAAAAATAAGCTCAATTTGTATACTCGACAAAAGTTCGATTATTTATGCTCGAACTCGAACTCGGACTCGAAATATTTTATTAATTAAAATAATAAAAATATATTTAAATATAAACTCGATTAGGCTCGTGAGTTACTCGAATCGAATATAAAAATACTCAAATTCGACTCGATCGATAAGTCGAGTTACTCGAGCTCGAGCTTGACTCGATAATAATCAAACCAAATTCAAATTTCTTTCGAATCGAATTCGAATAATTTATGAATACTAATGTATCATTTACACTCTTAAACTTTAACCTCCCGGTAGTGAATAATTTTTCAACGGTAATTAAAGATAAGTTCTCAGTTTCACGTAAAGGTGTGGGTTTGGGGGGCGCCTCGGCACTACCCTGCAACCGGCTGAGCAAGCAATTCCTGCCGCATCTATCTTTTTCCACCGTGTCTTCTTAAGCTCTCGTCCTCAGCCATCCAAAATGTTTCAGAACATTTTGTAAAACAAAATAAGTGATATGATTTGTCCTCTCACAGCTACAACCTCTTACTGTAGGAGTACGAACCAGGAAACCACCACTCCCATTTTAAACCTTGCCCTGCTACATTCCAATATTCCATTCATCGCAGTCATTTTTATTCTCTCTCTATATGTAAGGTACTGTAGTTTCAACCTTATTTAGTTACCTCTCCACTGTATACAAAAATTAAGCTTATATTCTTGTTTAACCTTTTTGGATTTCCAAGTTATGCCATGGAATTGAACTCAATGACGATCACTTGCTTAATGCATTACGTCAAGCAAAAGAATGGCAAAAGTATTGTTATTATGTATTATAATTATTTTGTCAATCAAAATTTTAAATTTCACCATAATGTTAATATTAATCTATTTAAGAATGTACACGAATTAAATATAAACAAAATTTGTTATGTTCATAATTTTTTTTATTTAATTGATAAATCTTAAAATAATATTTATGATTAATTTGTTAAGTTTAATAAATAAATAAATAATCGAATCTATTAATAAATTATTCATTGAATGCTTTGTTTGTTTGCGTTATTGATTATAAACAAATTGAATATAAATAAAATTTATTATTTTATAATTTATTTTTTAAAAATAAATTATAAAATATTATTTATAATTATTTATTAAATTTATTAAATAAATAAAAATAGAATATATTTATAAATTGTTAATAAAATATTTTATTTGTTTATAAAAAATTATTTTTTATATTACGTTAATGAAATTTTTAAAATTTCGTAAAAGTATTAGTAGAATATTATTATGCAAAATTAAAAAGAAAATGAGTAAGTGAAAAGAATAGCATAAATCAAAATATTCTGTGGTTGTGTAAAAAAAGGTGGCGGCCCAACTTGTCCCTAATAAATTCTGATTTAATTTTTTAACATCGATTTTTTATTAAATTAAATTTTGATTTAATAATAATAAAAAAATTAGAATTAAGTTTTAGATAAACTTAATTGTATATATATAAATTTATATTTAATTAATTATTTAATTTCATATTTATATATTTATTTATAATTTATTTTATATTTATATTAAAATAATATTTTATTAATTTTAAATTAAATCATATCAAATATAATTTTATATAATATCAAATCAAATTAAATTCGATTATAAAAAAATAAAAAAAATTAAATCAAATTAAATTCAAACGTTGTAAATATAAAATTAAATTAAATTTACGACCAATAAAAATGCGCTTCGATTCGAGTAGTTACCGTCCCTAGATGATGTAATTTTTTTGGTTAACTGCAAACTAAACTTGGTTTACCGGGTAAAACGATGAATTCTTGGGAACCCTATTAATTGAAAAATAAAATAACTACCAGATAAATGGGTGGCCAATGTGTTTGCATATAAAATATAAATTGGTACGACTCAAAACAATCAATTCGATCGCCCACTCTAATAAATTGGTGTCTCAACCCCAGTATTAATAGTGGCAGAGCGGCTTAATTAATTACATGTACCTTCGACTTATCAAGAGTCTGCCATGTCTGAGGCTCAAAAGCTAGTTTCTTACTGAAGGTTTTACCTCTCTGAATCTTTGATCGTATAACATTTTCAGCTGAATTTTGGGCTTTTTTGAACGACAGTAAATATTAATCAATTAGTGTAGTAATGGATTGCTGTACTTCGTATCAATCGGAGTATTAAATCAATTTGCATGGGTTGTTTAATTTATACTGCCATTGTTATACTCAAGCTCTGACTCTGAGTTTTTTTTTTTTTTTTTAAGCTTAATTTATTAAACTAATTATTCTTTCTGTTTTTTTTTTATGTCTTGAAATTATGTTTTTTTTTTACATTTAAATTTTTTATTTTTTTATGTTTTCTTTTATTTTTTATATTAAAAATCATACAATTTTAATATTAAACACATTAAAATTAATTTTTTTTAATTCCATAAAAATCAATATCACCAAAATAAATTAAGATTGAAGGAATAAAAACTTATAAAATTAGCTAGAATTTAAGTGAAATCGATTGGAGCAATAAGAAACATGAAATGGATAATGATATATAGAATCTCTTAGCTGCAAGCTATTACATTAAGATCAAGCATACCAACAAAACAATAGAAAATAAATAAAGATCAATTTTATAATCATACTTGAAGAAAATCACAAATAACAATTTAAGTTTATGAATGTCATTGATAGAATTCAACATACTAAATGATTATTAATAAGTGGTTAATTCAATTAATTAAAATTATCATTCTCAACGAATAGGTATTAGGTTCGAGTATTATCGGTAATAATTTGTTAAGATAATCTCGAATGCACGATTTGTAGTCACTTGTTTTAAGTTATCAGATACGATATATATTACTTTGATCTGAGAAACTGAATAACCTATTTATCTTTAAATTTTTTCTTACAAAAAAAAAAAAACATATCAAATGATTTTACATGACTCTAAAAGCTAGCAAATAACTCATGCGTTGAATATCATTGCTAGAAATGTAAGTATCATTTTTTGAAATCATCAAATTTGTGAGTCTTTAAATGATCTTTTTCCCTCCTACTCTTAGTTGAAGTTCTTGCTATTTCCTTTTTAGGATATATCAAAAATTTATTAAAAATGTAATCAATACAATGTTCAATGTCTTCAAATCAATTTCACACTTTTGTTAATTCCATATCAAATTTACTCTCATCATTTTGAATACATTCCTCATCTTTCTTTTTCTCGACTTCCAAACACAAACTCAAAAAATTATCATTCTCTTTACTTCCATGCATTATCACTCAATCACTAGCTTTTTATCCTTAGATACCCTTTTAGAATTTCCAAATTCAATCTATTATAAACAACTTTATCACTATAAAATTCTCTCCATATTTCATTACAATTTGACATCGCATTACAATCATGACAACATGATTACCCTCAATACAATTCACATTCGAATCAAATAAAATAATATTTTCTTTAGCAAAATTTGTATGAACCAATAAAAAAATGTCTTAAGGTATATTAGTAATAGACCTTTGATATAATATATTAAATAGACAACATATATTTCTTAAAATATATTAAAATAATATAATAAAAAATAAAACATGTATCAATATTTTAATTTTACTTATAAAATTAAAATTTTCATTAATAGTGTATTAAAAAAAACTCTCTATATTTATATGATTGTGGTTCGTCGCATTTAATCCTATGAGATATCATTTATTAATTGGATTTATATATGTTGTACTAATATTCAGTACTCGTACACATATGTAGAGACAAGTAGCAATACAAGCAAGCACGTATCTATGTAGCATCAACAGTTCTGTTTTTACCATTATTATATGTAAAATTTATATATATATTTTTTAAATTTTAAGTTTAAATCTCTACTTTTCTTTACTGTATTTTATCAAAACAGTCTTAAGAACTCTTCGTACTCAAATTCTCCAGCCTAATATTTTGAAAATAAAAATTATGGTTAGAAAAAATTGTGAGTTGGAATACTACATTTTTTATGAATTATTATTTTATTCATATTGATTTAAATTTTAAATTTTACAAATAAAATTAAAATTTTATTGCTGATACATTCAAACATTTAACTTAATATACATTGACGATTGAACATACTGGAATTTTTACTTTCTCAAATAAAAAATACTATAGTATATGTTCATTTAATTTTTTATAAATACTTTTTAATAAAATATAAAAATTTTACAAAAAGTACAAAATGGAAAGAATAATATTTTTTTAATAGGAAGTTAAGTAACTGTTCAAAGTCACTAAAAGGAAAGTAGGTGGTGATTAAAAAAAAAGAAATAGAATTCTGTAATTATCGCGATAAATTGATTGGGAACTGAAGCAGTGACGTGGCCTTGGAAGTAGGAGCAGCAGATATAAAAAGTAGGGTTAATATCTTCACCATCATGACTGTTCATTGTACGGGAAGCGATCGTCCACATAAAGATGGAAAACCAAACAAGGCTTATTTTAATCGGAAGAAAAAAAAAGGAAAAGGGGTTGGATTAAAAAATTTGGAATGAAGTCCACTTTGTTTGGTTTGATCCATCATCCATGATCCAGGACCTGATTTTTGCTCCTCTCCCAACCTTTCTGTTAACTTCACACACACACACACACAAATGTGTTCCTTTTTTACTTTTTTTGGCAAAATGTCCAAAAGACTGAAGATGATATTAAAGAGTCTCTCTTTCGCTATAAATGGGTTGGGTAAGGAGGTGACCTTTCCTTTCTTGAGCCAGCAAGCACTCACAACCCAAAGCCTCTTTCTCTCTCTCATGGTTTTTAGCTTTCTGTAATTGGTTTTTGGTTTCTGTGAGCAGACTCCTAACTCACAGCTCCTGAACAAAAACACCCGTTCCTCAACAAGGTAAAACTAGTGAAAAAAAAACCACCAATATTAGACCTTTTGTGTTTTTCGTTGTGCATGTTCATGAGCTAAGATTGGTGGGTTTTGTCACTATTTATTTTTTTATTCACCTGGATCTGGACACGGGGGCATTCCACTAGGGTTTCAGTTTAAATTTCTTCAATGAACTCAGCACAAAAATTCAAGAAAACCCACTTATTTTCTCTTCTTTTATAGGCCATTCCATGTACTTGTAGTAGTATTAATTTGTTAATCTCTGAGTTCAGAAATGTGAAACTTTTTTTTTTCTTTTTTTTGGTTTTGAACTTATGTATTATGGAAGGTAGTAGAAATGGCCAGGGAGAAGATCAAGATCAAGAAGATTGACAACGTGACGTCGAGGCAAGTGACTTTCTCCAAGCGAAGGCGAGGGCTTTTCAAGAAAGCTGAAGAGCTTTCAATTCTGTGTGATGCTGAGGTTGCTCTCATCATTTTCTCGGCTACTGGGAAGCTATTTGAGTTTGCCAGCTCCAGGTATTTTGCATTAACTGTCTTTTCTTTTGACAAAATCGCCTTTGTATATCATCAATGCATCACTTCTCTTTCAATATTTCTGCTCTTCAGCCTCTTCTTTTGCTTTCTGTGTACTTATAAATATTATAGACATAGAGGGAGAGCAAGGGGAGCTGGTAGCTAGGTTCCATTGTTGTCAGGTTTTTAGATCGTACGACTGATCTTTCAAAACAAGAACCAACCCCTTTGAAGAAAAAAGGAAGGTGATCTTTCCAGAAATGTAAGGGACCAGAAGGAAACCTGGCAATATCTCAAGCTACCGACTGTTTTTATGATTATGGACTTTTATGATTACTGAAAGCTCTTCAGGATTTTCAAGGAAAGATCTCGAGGAAATGAGAAATGACAAACCCTTTTGGATCATCTCTCTTTTTGTTGGTTTTCCATAGATCCTGGAGGCTATTGTCTCTTCTTGTTTGTTGGTAATAGCAGTTACATATAGGGAGAAAAAGTGACTAAAACAATTTTTTTTTTTTGGTCCAAGTAGCTAACATTGGTGACTTACTCATTTTCATATTAATTTTGTTTTCTTTCATGTCATTATTAGAGATGAGCATATACTACTATGTTCTCACTTTTGCGTAAAATAGTCTCTCAAAATCCAAAAAACAATCTACTCTTGTGGCTAAAGATTTGTGGACTTTAAGAAAAATTATTCATGTTTGATATAATTTTTCATTAACTTATTTATTTGATTGCCATTAGTTCATGTCTCTCTTGGATAATTTTGGTACCTTGCCTTTTATCATCCTTATTCCCTTGGGTTACTGATTATTGGGGCTAGAGATCTTAGGTCTTTCATGGTATATGTTGGGAATCTTTAGTGGCAAATATAACTAGCTAGAGAATATATTCATTTTAAAATCTACTAGCAAAAAAAATTATTTTTCCTTTTTTTTTTTTGATGAAAAATTTTCATTTCTATAGCTAGAGGAGTGGCTTGTTAAATTAGCATCAAAGGATTTGTATTTTTCTCTTCTCAAACTTGTTTTTGGTATCAAATTAATGTCTTATCTTTTTTTTTTTTTATGACAATGGTATGAGATTAGACAAGTTTTAGGTTCAAGACAAGATTAATTATATAGTGGAAGGTCTGAGGAAATATGAGACACGAATGTATATGTATATAAGGTAAGCTAAGCCATATAGCCATGGACTGACGCTTATTGAGGACCTATGAGCAAATTAAAGTGATTGCCAAGGCTGAAATAGTTCATTGATGGTTTGGATGTTCTAGAACATTATAACAGGTTATCAAATCACACCTTCAATTTCAATACTATATCCCAAATCATTTTCCAAACTGTTTGCACATAATTAGTTATGAGATCTAATTTTTGATTATATGTCAACATATAAGAATTAATGAGTTTTCATAGATAAATTTTCAAAGAGATGGCCGGTATTGGTTGGTCGATGCTAATCTTATAAGAAGCGGATCCTAACCCAGGTCCCTTTTACATGATTTGCTCTCCTTCAATTTATCGTACGTACGTTGAAGAGCCTTTGTTCTTTAGAGGCAATGTGGGAAAACTGGAAAGTTGGCATATTATATATGTTGAATGATCTTAGCTAATTCAAGCTTCTGATTCTGCACTCAGCTCATTTTGAAAGTGTCAATGGTGGAATGCTTGTAGTATGGTATAAATTATTTGTTCAAATTTTCTTCGCCAAAAAGGACAAACACTGCACCGACTGATTTTTGTGGTGTTTTCAGAACCATGTGTTCATATATATAATAAGTCATATTTCTATAGTTCAGATTTAATTACCAAAAAATTTAGTTGACAATTTTTTAAAAGCATATTGCCATTAAATTCTGTCAATTAAAATTTATTGATATGCATATAGACTATAGTTTGCTCATTGATTATAGCAATAACTGCTTAGACTTTGCCACAAGCATCTATGGACTTACTGTGTGCTTAATGCCGATCAGCCACTTAGATTGCTAAGTTGAAGCTCAGAATAACTGTTAGAAGCAGTAATATCGAACATTTTTTGCTATATCGTTTCATGTAAGGTGTATTTTTCTTGGACATAGGAAGCATGATGAAGAAGTCCTTTCAAACCTTTCCTTGTTTGATGCACCTTATAATTGAATTCAATGTTTATAATGCCTGCTTCAGGTTTTTCACATGAAGAATAATGTCGTCTAAGTAATTTTATTATTCTTTTTTCTCCATGAAGCATGAAGGATATATTGGGAAAGTATAATCTGCACTCTAGTAATCTCCACAAACTGGATCGACCGTCTCTTGAACTGCAGGTAGGTAATCGTGTAAGATGTTTGTAACATATTCTAAATCATTGTCGCCATCTTCATTTTTTAAGCATCTAAAATTTCAAGGAGAATTAATATTCATGCAACTGCATCTTGTTTTGCATTTCAAATATATATAGATTCAACATTGTTTCCATGAGTTCTTTCACTAATTTTAATACTTAACTGTATTTTTCCCATTCTTCTTTCTGTTGATGTTTCATTTTAAACGATGGAATGTGTAGAATTAGAAGGCTAGAGTGGTCAAAATTCTTTGCTTCCTTCAGGAATCCTTATGATCCTGGAAATGCTTTATCTTTTTCTTTGTCACCATTTTCTTCTTTTGGTATTTGACGTCTTGCAAGTTGGAAATATAGCTTTTAATGGATTCAATTACAGCTGGAAAACAGTAATCGGATAAGATTGAGCAAAGAAATTGCAGCTAAGAGCCATCAATTAAGGTCAGTAATCACTAATTTGTTTCCCCTTTAATGTGACCGTTGTTGACCAAATTTGACATTTATAATTACATTGACATGTAACCACTTTATAACAGGCAGATGAGAGGAGAAGATCTTCAAGGATTGAATATAGATGAATTGCAGCAGCTAGAGAAAATGCTTGAATCAGGACTTACACGTGTTCTTGAGACCAAGGTTTATGCACGTGTGATTTTGTCCATTAATCAACAAAGCCATGGCTTGATTCGTTGTCCATTATAACAAGTAATTGTTCCATTTCTTTTCAGGGTGAACGTATGATGAATGAGATCTCTTCACTTGAAAAAAAGGTCAGTACTAGCATTTGAAATATCTACAAGCCAGGCCATCAATATGCATGTTTGAAAAACAAGTCTCTTGTTTGCTTAATTTCCACTTTGATGTTAATGTAGGGAGCACTGCTGCAGGAAGAGAACAAGCAACTTAAACAGAAAGTAAGTGGTACTTTATTGAATTGTTATGCTGCTGTTCTTTTGATTTTCAAATGATAAAAATTTTGACATAAGATTTTGGGGTTATCAGATGCTGACATTGTGCAAGGGAAAAAGACCTGTCTTAGCAGATTCAGATGTTGTAGTTCAGGAAGAAGGCATGTCATCGGAGTCAGTCACTAATGTTTGTAGTTGCAGCAACGGCCCTCCATTGGATGATGATAGCTCAGATACTTCTCTCAAATTGGGGTAAGCTTCAAATGCTAACGCCATTAAATGATGTTTGAAAGATCATAAAGCTAGAGTCACTGGCTTACCGCTGCTTTTCATCACACAGTTGAATCGGAAAAAAATGAAAAAATGGCAGGAAAAAGTAACGAAGAAAAAATGAAAAAAGTTTTACCTAACAAAACCTTTCAGACAAACTTCTCTCTTTTTTTTTTTTTTTTCCTACCTATCAGTGTAGAGCTCTCTCTTCATAGAACAATTAATGTTTGATCAAATTTATGCTTAGTTGCTTTTGTTTTGTCAACTCTTTTGTAGGCTTCCCTTCTCTTAGCTGAAACAAATGAGAGGAGATGCTGAATCTTTGCAATACTGTTCCTGTCATATATATGTTTTAGGTGAAATGGGAATATATATATATATATATATGTATGTATTTATGTATGTATGTATGTATGAATGTCTGTGTGTGTATATATTTGGAAGTTGAAGGTTTATTTTGAAGTACTTAAACCTCATGTTGTGTGTAGGATTATATGATTACTTTATCTGGGTGTACTGGTTTGGGACACACTTAGGTTCTCTAATACTATTTATTAATAGATTTATATTTAATGCATCGATAGTATAAATTTTATATACTGTCAATAAATATGATGATATTATTTTATTAATAAAGTGAATCAAAGGTTAATATTTGTTTATTAATAAAATAGTATCATTTGATTTATTGATAACATATAAAATTTATATATTAATAGTATATTTAATATAAATTATTTATTAATTGATAATTGGTCTTAATTAGAGAGTTGCAGGTTAGTAGAAATAATTATTTCCAACAAAGAAAGGACACTCTTGCATTCTAAGAAATTATTTGCCTACTTTGTTCTTTTGTCTTCCAAAACAGAAAGTTGTGCTAAATGTTATTTAAATGGCAACAAGGGAGTATTTCACTTATAAATTTATTTTATTAGAATTGTATAATTATTTAATTAAAAACTTATTTGAAGATTTATCACTTAAAAAGTATAAATTTCATATAAGTTTTTATGAGTTTATATTATTAAATAAGAATTGATTACTTATACATAATTCCTTGCAACAAGTGGATATTGATTCTAAATGCTATATTTTAAAGAAATAATCTATATTTTGTCAAATCATGGATCTTTATTTGAAATGGGAATGTATAACTTATAATCTTTTTATTATAATATTATAATTGTTCAATTATAATTTAAAATTATGTAGGCATTCATCATTTGTACGTGAGATTTTATATAAATTTAAATGGATTTTACATAATTTTATATTATTATGATTGATTAATTGTAATATAATGATCGAAAATGATATGCTTTCAAAATGTTTTAAAAATGTTTTATATGGTATAAATAAGATTTTCTTAAAATAAAAACATGAGCAATTAATTGTGATTGTTATAAGGTTAAATATTTTTAAAGGAATATTTCAATAATTAAAATTTTAATTTATAAATTCATGGGATGAATTTTACGGGAGGAGGAAACTACCTCTATTTATCCAAGATCACATGTGAAAAAAAAAAGCTATAAAGTTATTACTTATTAGCCATATTTAGAGTTGGTAATAGGGTGAAACAGGTCGGATTTTTACTTTCTGTCTTTGATTCGATGCTTCAATAATTTTATTTGATATTGAACCTGTATTCTCTCGAAAGTTTTAGTTGAAAAACTCGACCTGATCCTTTAAGAATATTATTTTTTTAAATTCGATTTGACCTGAATTCAATCTATTATTAATTTAAATTTATTAAAATTTTAATAAATCATAATTTAAATATATTACAAGCATTAATAAATTTAATTAAATCACTCACAAATTCAAATTTAACACATACAATTTTTTTTATCTAGTAAAATCTCACAAATTCTTTTCATAAATAATGGAGTTATATAATACATAAAATTTAGTAAATTAAAACTCACAAATTATCATCATAGATGATAGAATTATGAAATATATAAAACTTAATAAACTAAAATTCAAACATCAAACAAACATAAGTTAATAACTAGAATTTAAACATAGTATATGATATAAGATAAACATCAAAAGCTTAAGCCACCATAATAAAAAGTTAAATTGTTTGTACATCATTTCATCTAATATAGTGAAAATCTTCTAAAACCACAACAAATCATTTCATCATCACCGAGCTCCATATCCCAAATCTTTTCTAACCACACTAGTCTTATAAAATAAAACAATAACATAAATACATAAATATCATAAAATAATATATTTAAAAACAATAACATAAAAAATGAATTAGTTTAAAAAGATAATATTATTTACCAAACCAGTTATCTTTTTCTCAATTTCACTCTCATCAACATCTTCGTAAAAAGATTTTTCTCATAATGAAATTGACCCTAGAAATGAAATAATCAAATATTAAAAAATAATATATAACAACAAAGTATAATAACTAACAATATGCTAAAATAAAAAAATAAAATTGCATAATATTCATTATTGTACCTTTTTTTTGGCCTATAATAAATTTGACAACATGTTAAATCTTCTATAGTTTATGGATGAATTTCATTACGTTGTGTACTTACCAACCTCCCTCCAGTACTAAAAATAGACTCTGAAGTAATAATAAAAATTGATATGGGATAAGTATCTCTAACAATAAGTTGTAAGGTCTGAAATTGAGGTCCAGTTAATTTATACCAATTCAATATTGTAGACACCCAATTGGGTCCAGGCCTAGATCAATTGGGCCTGGCCCAAATGGGTAAGGCCCAATTGAATTTTTATCCTGTATGTTTTTTTTTCCTTTTTTTTCTCTTTTTTTTCTTGTTTGTATATTTGTATTTATTTATTTAGAATATATTTATATGTATATAGTTATATATTATTATATTATTATTATTATTATTTATTATTATTATTATTTTTAAATATATTTTTGGATTTATCTTATTTTTTTAAATTATCTGTTAATTTTATCTGATTTTTTTTATTATCTGATTATTATTATTATTATTATTTTTTGTTTATCCTATCTTTTCTAAATTATCTATTTTTTTATTTATTTGATTTTGGAGGGCTGGGATTGAAAGTTGAAGAATCCCACTGGGAATGAGAATTCAATCAGAAGAGTCCAGACTGGATTCAAAGATTGAATTTCCGTCCAAAGGGGAATTGGGATTGATCAGAAACTCCTGATCAATCCCTATATAAAGGACCCCTGAAACAGATGCAAACACACAGAAAACAGTAAGCAAAGCTACTGATTTGAGAGAAAATGAGGCGTATAGGAAGCTAGGAAAAGTTTAGGAGTGTTCTGGGAGTGAGAAAAAATTTTTAGAAATTTTTGGCGAAAATTTTTTTTGGAAATTTCTGAGAAATTTCCAGATTCCTGCGAAAATTTTGGCGAAATTTGAATTTTCCGGCAATAATTCCGACGAACATTGAAGTTTTCGATGACCTGCCCAGTTTCCGGCGCAGAATCCCAGAAACCAGTGATATTTCGACCAACTTCCGGTGAAATTTTTTTAGATTTCGGTGACATTTTCCAGAATCCGACACCGTTGTTCTTCAGATTTTAGAGAGAAGGGAGAGGAAAAGGGAAGAAGAGAGAGAGAGGGGAGGAGCGTTCTGTCAAAAAATGAAGGGGATTGCCTTTTATACCCTCCCAAAACGACGTCGTTTTGGCCTTAAGTAACCAGAGGATCCGCGCGTTTTGCCGAACCCGACGCGACCCGAGCGTCGACCCGCTTTCCTGACCCGCGCGTGCTGCCCCTCCTCCGAGCCGAGCCAAGCCGAGCCGAGCTTTCAAGCCACTCCCCCGAGCCGTTTCTCTTCCTTGAGCTGAGCCGAGCCGAGCCTCGATCCGAGCCGCTCCAGGTTTTTTTTTTTTCATTTATTTGTTTATTTATTTTATTTATTTATTAGATTAGGTTTATTTAACATTCTTTTTATCTTTATTTTATTTTTATTTTGTTTTTTTTTTTTTATTTATTTTCACTTTCATTTTTTTATTTTATTATTCTATTTTCTTTAAATAAAAATCAAAATTTCCAAAAAAAATCTTTTAGGGAAAAGTTGAAAGTATCAATTTTTTTAAAAAATAAATTTTCAAAAAAAAATGATTTTTGAGGAAAAGTTGAAAGTATCAATTTTCCTTAAAAATAAATTTAAAAAAAAAAGGATTTTTGAGGAAAAGTTGAAAGTATCAATTTTCCTTGAAAATCAAAATTTCCAAAAAAAAATATTTTTGGAGAAAAGTTGAAAGTATCAATTTTTCCTACGCAAAAAAAAAAAATCATTCTTTCATTCCTTTCTATTTTGATTTTTTATTTTGATTTTTCTTTAACTAATCCGACGACGGAGCCTCTGCAAGTGAAACAGTAGTTTTTCTTGCATACTCTTGAGGTGAGGAAATTTTCTCAATTTTCTGCTAAAAGTATTAGAGTCAATTGAGAAAAATTTTCAATAATTAATTACTTGGTGAAATTTTAAGGCTTTTGGATAACACAAATTTAAGCTGGTACCATCTTTTGATGGGCGTTGTGAGGGTGCTATAACCTTCCTCACACGTAATCGAACTCTCGAACCCTGTTCTGGTTAGCAGACCTGAACCTATTCTTTTAGGGACCCTTAAGCTTAGGTGTCCCCTGAAAGGACAGATTCTTTAGGTGGCCAATCGCACCTAGATAAAAAAGATTGGTGGCGACTCCCTAAAAGTTAATGTCTAGCGATAGATCCCCGGATCTAGACGTTATGACAAATATATCAAAATCTTTTTTTCTTTGTATGACTTTTTCATCCAAGTAACAATCTAACTCTGATTTTATTTTTGATTTTTTTTTCCTTGAAACAAAATCATTATAGTCTCTAAAAAATTTTCAATTCAATAACACCGACACTATCTAAGGCTGAAAAGCTTGAAATAGAATGTCTTTCCTCCTTTTTCAAAGCTAATTTTTCCTCATACTCTTTAAACAAATTTTGACATATTTGCACAATCCTTTCAATTTCAAATTCAGTATTTTTTTCATAAATCTTTTCAAAGTAATACTCTAACAACTCTGTTTTATACCTTTGATCTAAAATTATGGCAATATCCATTATACCATGCACATTATTTCAATATTTTTCAAATTTGCCTAACATGCTCACTGTCATACATGAAATAATTTTATTGGTATACATAATCCATTCATTCAATGATAATATGATTTTACAAATATTAAGAAAATAAAGATTTGCAATAACATATTTTATGTCAAAAAACCTTTCAGTGATATCATAAAATAACTTCAACTTGTCATAAATCTCGATTGCAATGATCCAATCATTTTTAGTTAGCAAATATTTGTATAAAGGATCACTATGTAATTACACATAACGAGGAAAGACATCTTTATTAAACAAAGTTGTTTAAAGCCGTTTGAAGCATCAAGTAAATAGAGTTCCATCGTGTTTTGACATCAACACACAACTTTTTTAAAGTTGGAACGCACAATCGATGCGCTGCCTCTTCAAAATTTTTCCAACTCTTTCGTGTTTCAATTCCATCTCTAATCGCACTCAATCCATCTTTCACAATTAAATGTAAGATGTGTGAATAATAACACATATGAAAAAAAATCCATTAAGCAAAAGTGTATTACAACAAATTCTATCAATTAACAACTCAATAACATATCATTTACATTACAATTATCCACTATAATAGATGAAGTTTTCTATCAATATTTTCAATCTAATAAATATTTCATCAAACTTAAACAATGACCTCTTTCGTATATGGAGTTGGCATATATTCAACCTAATTAAACAATAAATTATTTACACTAATTTAAAAAATTAATTCAATAATAATAATTACTTAATAAAAATAAACACTATCAAAATAAGACAATTTAAGAAAATATACTTGATGATGCATTTTTGTAAGTTTTATTTATTATTGATGTAATAAGTAGTGATAGTCATGTATCATCTTTTTTGGTAATCAACAGTTCACATATCAGTTGTGAACAATTCTCCATTCATTAGCTTCAAACTGGATATTGTTTTTGCCTTTTTCTCTTTGAAATCTTTAAATATCACTCTTTATAGTATTTTGAAAAGGCATACCAAACAAAGGTTGGAGACTGTACAATACTTTCTGAATTACATATGATCAACCATTGATAAGGGATATTCGTGCATAATTATCAATATTGGCAAGCTCCTCATTATGACACTTTGATGAAGAAAAAAATTTTTTAGTATTATTTTTTCATCTGCCTTTTTTTGATTAGCTACCAGTACTTGTTGACAAATATCCATTTGAAATTACTTGTTGCTCTTCTTTGAATGCTCACGTAATGATTTGTCCCCATTCTTAGAAGTACCACCAAGTTTTTCTTACAATAATTGCATATTGTTTTCAATTTATTATTGATCTTCTTTTTTTTTTAAATGTTTTCATACTTTTAGTTTTAGCTTACTGGAGTTATACTTACTATCATCAACTTCAGCACCTGGTTAGTCACACTTAATGATGGAGTTGCATTTTCATCAGATGTTGGAATGAGAGTTTGCTGAATTGGTGATTGATGCGAGGTAGAAGCAGAAGGTGTTGATGATCACGAATTATCTCTCAAATTAGACATTTTAACTTTATTCATAAAAAGAAAAATTAGAATTATTATTCTTGATATTAACAAATAAAGCAACTGAATAAATTAGTTGTATAAAACCAAAATAGATAGATTTGTTAACAAATAATTCTATTTAAACAATTGAAAAACAAACTTAGAATCTAAGTATTAGAAAAAATTAGAAAAGTTCATTTTATAAAAAAAAAAGGTGATTATTTTACCATAAGCAACTTAGCATACACTTTTAAATTGTTGACTTAGTATGCACCTTTAGTCAAATAAGGAGGCTGAATTAGCATATGAAACAAGTTAAATTATCTTCATTTGTCTTTTTGCTAATAATGTCTTCATTTATGACATTTTAACCTCTATCATATCTTATAACGTCTTTTTGCTAAGATAATGTCCTTTTTTTAAACTATAATATATATATATATATATATAAACATGTGATTGCTACCAACTTTCTCTCTTTCTATCTTTTTTGTTATCATAAATACAAAATATATAATATATATTAATTTAAACATGAAATTATAATGCACCTAATAATATCTATTGAAATTTCAAAGCTAATTATGTATCTCAAAATTTTTTAGAAAAAAATGCTATTGATTTTTATTTTTTCAAAGCCTCTAACTTATATGTTTTCCTACTAGGCGTGAGAGAAGACTTTCCATCAACTTTAGCATTATGGAGACATTTATTCCCATACGGGAATCATTATTATATTCTGGTCAAGCCTAGGTCAGCTCATTAGACTGGTTTATGGGTTTTCTTTTCTTTGGTTTGAAAAGATGGCAATGCATTACATAACCTCCTATTTTCATTCTCTTGACGGGTTTAAGTTTAACTTTGTTTATACCTCCTAAAATATACATTGATATTATTCACAATTCTTAGTACTTATAAGCCTACATGAGAAAAACTATAATGTTAAGACATTAATACCTAACCACATGACAAACATTAATTTTTTATTTTTCTGTATATTTTTTGAAGTTCAATTTACAAGTAAACCTTAAATAAAGAACATTTAAAAAAATTTGACGAGAAAAAGAGAACTAATCGTAAAGACTTTGGTGAGTGGTAACCCTTTTTTTATATGAAACTTTTAGGAAAAAAGCTGTTAGGTGGATGGAAGCAATAGTTCTGTCAGAAAGGGATAGAAATCCCAACAAAACAAAGGCTATTTTTTATATAAAGAAATAGTGAATTAAGGCTAAAGGTAAGTACCTAGGTTGAACATGGTGATTGCTTTCTCTTGCTTGCTCGATGAGATGTAACTCAATGAGAACTACTATAGAATTTGAATTTGGCTTTGCTACTTCAAAGCTTGACTTTCTTTTTTCTAGCGTGAATGCTTTTTTTATTGAAATAGATAGAGGGAATAGATGAAAGCTACAAAAGAAAAAAATGAGGTGGGTTAGATAGATAGAGAAAAAGTTTGAAGAGATTAGGGTTAGAGTTAGACAAGGAGGTGAGAAATCTTAAAAAAAAAATTATATATATGTATAAAGGGTATTTGGATAAATATTTTAGGTCGAGTTTCATATAAACCTGCCTCTGACTCGAATCTGTCCTTCAAAAAAATAAAGCAGATCAAATTTGACCTGAGACTCATTTTTTTAAAAAAATTTAATCCTATATGATTGATTCGAATCGAAACTCGACGGTTTCAAATTGATTTGCTGTCCCTAGCCATATTTCAATTTCCTGGTTAAAACAAAAACATATGGGGCAATCTAGAGAATTAGCCGAATTAAGGGGGATCAACTTGCGATAAATCCCTTTTCCTTGTTCGATTGAATTCCCCTTTCCTACAAAGCAAATCCTACGCGCAAAGATTAGTGTTCAGTAACTATTTGTGTCACCTGATTGGATCGTGCTATCCAGTCTCCAAACTTGCTCGTTCTTAATTACACCAAAGCCAACTTAACCAATATTTTTCTTCCATCCAGTTGGTTTGTTTCTCCTCTAATTGGCTCGTTTACTCGCAGAATTAGGTAAGTGCTTTTTCTCTCTTTCTCGGAAGGTCGGTTAATTCTCCTCTAAGTTACTAATTGAGTTTCTATTACCGACTCACCGAGTTGCCAACTCGTTCGTCCAGCCTAACCCTAAGTCGTCTCACGCGCCGATGAAGAACGGTCTCGAGGTGTTAGACTTTAAGGAGGAAAGCGAGATATCGGAATTGGCAGCTGATAAATACTTGAGCAAATTGAAAAACCCTAATATGGATGACCCCGCAACTCTGAAACACCAGTTTCTCGAATTCGGTACGTTTCTAAAAGAAAAGAAGAAACGTTTCCTTTATTATTTATTATTTTCATTTTTCAAATAAATTTGTTTAGGCGCTGAAAAAGCCACTAGAAAACGATCGAATTTTCTGTCTAATTTTAAATGCCTAAAACCCTTACTTTTTTTAGTAAGGTTAGGGTGATGAAAATGAAATAATTGAATCATAGTGAGAAATTGTATGAATTTTGCCATCATTTGTAGTTTGAATTCCATAATTTAGTTAATGTTAGAGCACTGAATTCACATCCGAGGAAGTAGCTTGAGTGTTTCCAAGTTAGTGGCTATGAGTAGATTGATTGTTTAGCTGTAATCCCTTATTGAGTAATTGTGATCCAAGTTGTGGAAATATGATGAATTACAAGTTTTATGGATTGTTTGATCAAACGTGCTTTATAAGCTTCAGTTGTGTACAACAAGCGGATGCTATTTTCTTTCACTAGGATGAAAACATATGATCATGTTTAGATTACTTGGATTTGTGTTTACTGTTTCCTTGCTGTAGTAGTTTGATATGCTACATGCCATTAAGAATGGATTTTGTTGTGGTTGTTGTTGTTATTGGTGTTTTTTTTTTTTTTTGGTGGGAATGGGGTTATGTAGTATGACTTAAATTCTGTGTTTGGCAATGGTTGTTGAGTTTGGGATGGTTAAATTTGTAATATTATATGAAACATTTATTCACAAATCTGTGTTACAGGATAATTGTAGTATAAGATGGGTGGACACTCATTTATTTATCTGCTTTTCTGATAGTAATTCTTTTACATTTCCTTCAAGTTGCCCAAGGTGCTGCTATTCAGAGAAAGGAAATGGACGATGTTCCTTCCATAGATGTTGATGCAATTGGTGGTGATTGTAGTTTTGATGGTGCTGCACCAGCTGGTCTGTTGGGTACTGGTGAAAAAGGATTTGTCTTAAAGGAAGGAAATATTGAGCCGGATGTTTCCCCAGCGTCAAAGTCTATGTATTCTGAACAACAGGCAGACTTAGAAAAAGATAGCCTTGAGCCTAGAAGTACCTTTCCTGAATTGGAGTTAAGAGATTCATGTTCTGAAGCACCTTCACCTGGGAATATACAATTAAACTGTGCCCTTTCTAATTCTGCATTAATTGTACTTTTCAAGTTTTTCCTAAACTATATTTTGAATTAATTTATTTATTTTATGCCTTGTGCTTAGATTAATTTAATATTTGCAGAATGAGCCAGTTGATCTGTCTTTAGATGCTAATGAAAGCATGAGTGAAGGATGTCCGTCAAGTCCTGCGTCAGATGTAGTAGATGACGATGATGGTATTCTTTCTGATTTGAAATTTTATGTTCATTTTTTCCCTATAGTCTGTAGTGGGTTTTTATGTTCTAAATATAGTTATCTGCATAATTTCAGTTTCTTTGAATGGCAACGTGTCAGATCATTGCATTGGCAATATCCCTGTGGTAATTTCCTTTTCTTTTAAATATATTAATTAATGATAATGAACTTGGAGATACTGTAGAGTGTTTTTCATCTTTAAGGGATTCATTCATCTGCCAAGTGTTCATTTATCAATTGCCTGATATTAACTCTCGGGGGATTAGTTTTCTCATAGATGCCCTCTCTATATGTAATTTTGAAGTTTTCTTTGGTTGACCCATATTTCATTCTCTATTAACTTATGAAGCATTGTTATTTGCATTCTGTGAAACAATGTTGCTTGTTTAGCATTGAAACTTCAATTGTTATTTGGCCTAACTCTGTATTTGCTGTTGCTTAGTCAAAGGATGTTTTACCTTTACCTGAGTTGGAATATTTACCATGCATTCAATGAGCTATGGGTTTCTAACTGTTTGAATTTATGACATTCAACTTGAAGGTTTTGGGTTCAAATCTTGGGGAGGGTGTTGAGTTTATGAAATAGGATAGAAATACTTTCTTTGTGTAGCCCAAAATCCTAATGAGCTTCAACATCCATGTGTACTTGAAAAAGAAGAAGAGGAAGATGCTGGTTTTTAGCTAGATGTCTTGGGGATTTTTGTCGACTAAACTGTAAAAACAGTTTTATAAAAAACTATTTGCCAATAAGATCTATATTAATTAGTACCTGCTATATATCTTCTGAAGGCTTTTCAGATTTGTTTTGATTATCCTTGTTGCGAAATTTGCAGGATAACATAGACAGGACAATTGTTATATGTTCGGATTATGTTCTTTATCAAGATAATTATTATACAGGGATGTCAGTCTTTTTTTCTCCTAGTGGCATCAAAATTGAGGGCTCAACTGTGAGCGAACACCAAGGGACCTTTTGTTTTGAAAGGGGAATTGATGATATTATTAATATCGATTGTCAGTGGTTCCAAAGGGTGAGTCCTAATGGCGATATTTGGTGTTTGTGCTTTTGTAAAGTTTCTTGGTTTTAACAGGATACTCTTTTCTTTATGGACTGCATCTTAGGTTGGAAATGTGACAGTCAATCTGAAAGTCCTATCAAAGGTTGCGGTAGAGGCTGAGAACACATGTGGTACTTCAGGTCAGTGGCCTTAAACAACTATATAGCCTGTGCCTGTGTGAGCTAAGGATGTATGTCTTTTGTTTTCGTCAGAAGATAGGAATGGAAGAACTTGGAGAATCTCCATAAAGTGTGATATGGACATGATGCTGCTAGCACTGATTTCTCATAATCTATTATGTCTATGATGTCTTGTACTGGAAAAAAGTTGTTTGTGATTCATAAGTTTGTTATTTTCACCTAGAAAACATGAACATAACTATTCATTGCTTATTGAACATAATGAAGGCACTTGTCATGCTTGTATAGTTTGTTTCTTGTAAAATTTGAATTTTACCTCTTAGATCTATTGTTTTGTCTATATGAGGTGAAGAAAAACTTTGAAAAATTGATTTGGACCTAGTTCAATTTTTTTTTTCCTTGTTTAAAATGTTGGCCTCAGTTTATTATATACTTTCACCATCATATGGAAGTTAGCTCTCAGCTAACATGTGTTTTTTTTTTTTTTTCCTTTTATCTGACCTTATTTGCTCATGTATATTCCTTTCAGCTGTTGAGGAGATAAAGTTTGCTCTTATTGACCCCAAATGGTCTGATAAACAGGAAGTGATCATCTCATTAAATTTTAAATACCCGGGCATATGGAATATTGTGCTTGAGTAAGCTTCTAAATAGATGTTTGTTTTCAAAATCAACATAAAACCATAATTGTCTAGCGATGTTGATTTACTTGTGGAATTTTATGTTGCTATTTTTATTGCCTTTAAAAGGCACTTACGTGCCTGTCATGATATTATGTTGTTAAATCTAGAGCAGTGCTAAAATATTCCTTTTTATTTTTATGCTGCATATGCTCGCAGTCCACTGACAGGAATAGATGGAGATGATTCACTTGTGCAAAAGTCTTATTTTCCCAAGTAATGGCACTCTCCCCCCTTCTCAAAAAAAAAAAAAAGAGTAAAAGTCTGGTCTTCTTTAATGTTTTCCATGTTTTCCCTTATTTCATGTTCCTGTTAGATATCATCTACTCCTACGTATACTTACCATACCTGGTCTGCAGTTTTGATGAGCCTTTTGAGGAGGTCATATATCCGGCAGGTGATTTTGATGCAGTTTCCATTAGCAAGAGAGATGTTGATCTGTTACAACCAGAGACATTCATCAATGATACGATCATTGACTTCTACATCAAGTAAGATTGGTGTAATTCTTTTATCATTACATATGTCTATTTTTTTAAGGAATGCTGCAGACTCAAGTTTGGAACATAAAATCAAGAGTTTAGCATACCTATGTAGTGCTAGCATGGGAGCTTTACACCAATTTTGTTTGATAGGTATCTGAAGAATCAGAAACCTGAGGAAAGGCAAAGATTCCATTTTTTTAACAGTTTTTTCTTTCGGAAACTTGCTGATCTTGACAAAGATCCATCCAGTATTTCAGACGGCAGGGCTGCTTTCCTGCGTGTTCATAAATGGACAAGGAAATTGGATATGTTTGGAAAAGATTACATATTTATTCCTATAAATTTCAAGTAAGAAATTTGTCCAACTGAATTATTAATATCTTTCTAGAGATTATATATAAGAACTTGTGAGCTAATATAAAGTGTATTTGCATATTACTGACAGTCTTCACTGGAGTTTGATAGTCATATGCCATCCTGGTGAAGTGGCTGGTTTTAAAGGTATACTGTTGTTTTACTGTACAATGTCTTTTGGGAAAGCTACCCTTCATTCATGCATATTTATCATATTTCAGATGAAGACTTGGACAAGTCATCCAAGGTACCATGCATATTGCATATGGATTCTATCAAAGGAAATCATGCAGGTCTCAAAAATCTTGTCCAAAGGTATCCTAAAGCTTTTACGGTTCATATATTTGGTTTCATAAATACTCAGACATGCAAGTTTCCTTGTTACTTTTCAATGCTTTTGCTGATGCATGGTTGGGCTTCTAAGTGGCAAGTACTGAAAAAAATTTCTAGATCATATATAACAACTTTTGCTTTTGATCTCTTAAACAGTCATATCATATCTTTGCTATGGTTAAGATGTTTTTTTTTTTTTTGACAACATTTGCTACTAGTTAATCAGAATTTATGCAAATTTAGTTTCATATATTTCTCTAGGATTATATTGGAACTTTAGTATCATGCACTATGGCCCTTGTGAGTTTGCCTCAGAACAATACAACTTATAAACTTGGGATTGTGAATGAAATGGATTAGGGTGCCTTTAATCAAATATGTAGTAGTAATAAAAGTGACTAATTTTTCACTCTCACTAAATCAAACTCATACATTGTGCTAAATTTTGGATGTCTAGGCTTAGTATAATGCTTTTTAGAATTGATCTTTTCTTTTCTTTTTCTTTTATCCAATTTGGTCATATACAGTTTTATTGAGGAATTTCTTCCCATCCATCATAATGAATCTTTTTGTCTACATCTTTAATTTCAAGCTTGTTCACATTTGTGAGTATTTTAACTTCATTTTTTCCCCTTAATTAGCTGGTATTTTTAATTTTAGATCTTGTTAGTTCTTGACATGCCTTTTGTCCTTGAAAATGATAGTTACCTTTGGGAAGAGTGGAAAGAGAGGCACAAGGAGACATCTGAAGATCTTTCTTCAAAATTCTTGAATCTGCGTTTTGTCTCACTTGAGGTACTGCTAATCTCTTTGGGCATTTATGTAGAGATTTTTGACATTTTTGTCTGTATGCTGCATGCAACTTAGAGAACTGACTATTCTTTTATTTTTTTAGATGGGGACTGCAAAGTTGAAAAGAAAAGAAAGAAATTAAAAAAACTAAATATGTTGTGGATTTTTATGATTGCTTAGTAGCTGATCTGTTATGGCATATGTATGTAATCCATTTTATCTGACATTTTGTTCATTTATTGTCAGCTTCCACAGCAGGAGAATTCATTTGATTGTGGCCTGTTTCTACTCCACTATCTGGAGCTCTTCCTAGCTGAAGCTCCTCCTAACTTCAATCCATTCAAAATAACCAAGTTCTCTAACTTTGTAAGTGGCTTGCATGGTTATTTTGGTTCATAGTGCAATTGATGCTTAAATTTGTATTTGTCTAATACCATATAAAGGGCTCATACAATTGCCATCTTGTTTTTTTTTTAATATGTTTATGTTATATTTTAATAAATTTGGACATTTTTATTTTCTGTTCCATATTTGTCCTGTTTTCAATTGAAGTGTAAATGCTTCAATATGGAAATGTTCTGGAATTTGTTCTTGGGACCAGGCACCAAGTTAAAATTTTCTTAAGATAAGCTGAGAATAAGCTGATGACTATTGTGATCAATCTTTTATTTGTTTTCCCTTTGTTTTCCTTCCCAGCTTAATTTGAGTTGGTTTCCACCTACTGAGGCATCTCTGAAGCGCACTCTAATCCAGAAGTTAATTTTTGAACTCCTAGAGATTCGTTCTCAGGAAATCAGTTCATCTGATTGCAGTGATGAACATCATTCTTCTAAATCTCCAGAAAAGATTGAAAATGAAAATGGTGTGGAGTTTATTTCAGAGAGTTTCAGCCCAGAAGTAGCTTGTCATGGAAATTTAGATTCCCAAGCGGGCCAAGGGATTGAAATGACTCTTCTAGCATCATCTTCTATGAGAAATATGGAGAGTGTTAATAATTCTGGCTTGGTTGTTAGGGAGTTCTTCGAGTCAGGAGTTACAGCAGGATCTTTGCTTGGACGATTTCCATCTTTTGTCCAGCAGCCATCATATTACAATATGAATGGGGCTATATCACCAAGAGAGGTATTGAATTTCATCATTCTTTTGATAATCGTTTTTTCTGCCCAAGTAGATCGTAAAATGCATTTAGTGCATTGCTATAATTACTTCCTTACTAACTTCTCACCCTATGTTAGACATGCATATGCACCAGATAAAGAGGGGATATTCTTCTATTACAGTGAGAAATTGGGAAATGGAGGGATTTCTTGTGCCATATCATATTCATTGTTCTAAGTTTTCTTGGGAATTAACTTTTATGTTGGTGAGTTTTTCATTTCCAAATTCTAATAAGAATAAACTGTTTTATTTACAGCAAGAAGATGTGCAAACTGGTCAACAATTTGTTTATTTAGCTTCTGGAGAAACTGGTTTTCTGCAGCTCACTGGAATTACACCTCAAGCCTGTGAAGTTCCATATCCATCGAGAGGTTTTGTCATGGGCAGTTCGCGGAGTCATGGAATTTCCATGCAAGGAGAGCATGAAGTTGACACATCGCTTGAAACATCTAGTGCCTCTCATGATGATGATGATGATAATGACGACGATGATGTTGGGATCGTTGAAAAGAACCCCATTGACATTGAGGATAATGTAGATCCAATTCAAAAACAGGATACAGATCAGGAACAATCTCAGTTTGTGGAAAATGTTGAGCTTCCGAAGAAAGGTTTCATGTATGCCTCCATTGAAGTACTGGGGACTTTCATCACTGAAGTTCCTGGACCTTCTGAGGACACTGACAAGATTCACGATAGCACTGAGGATGCAGACCTTCTCTCCAAAGATAATTTGCCTGTATTCTTGCATCAGAATCGTGGTGCAGATCAGGATCCCGAACTGGTTGAAAAGAATGCTGAAATGGTTGAAAACAATGAGGCCAGAGGTGATGATGTGCAAATGATTGGTGACCTTCCCTCCCAAGATATTTCAACTGTATCGTTGCATAAAAATCCCAGTATGGTGTTGAACCAGGTGAATCAGGATTCTGAACTCATTGAAAAGAACTCTGAAACAGTTGAAAATGATGCTAGAGCTGATGATGTGCAAATGATCGGTGATGACCTGTCCCAAGATAATTCAACTGTATTACCACATCAAAATCCCAGTGTGCTGTTGAACCAATTGGATCAGGATCTTGAACTGGTTGAAAGCAAGGAGGCCAGAGGTGATGCTGTGCAAATGATTGGTGATGACCTTCCGTCTGAAGATAATTCAACTTTATTGTTGAATCAAAATCCTGGTATGGGGGTGAAACATTTAGATCAGGATTCTGAAGTGGTTGAGAACAAGGACTCAGGTGATGATCTGTCAGCAGAAATAGCCGGACAACCAGCTGCAAAAAGGATACGGCTCACGCCTTCCCTTGACGAAAAAGCGGACTCATAGGAAAGCCTGTCAATAGGGGACATATTTGTTCGTAAGTAGGAGTGTAGGACTGGATGGAGTTTGTCTTCCACTGTATATTCCGGGAATCCAAATCTCACTATTTATGTATGTGCGATGCTGTGAATAGTGTTGGTGGGCTGTATGTTGATTTATGACTGGGAAGGAGGATGGGGGCAGTGGGATGATTGTTTTGGATAGATTTTCTTGCTTTTATATCTTATAAACAATTTAACAATATTCTGTAGGTGAAGTACTAAATTTTTACTTTTTAGGTGATCAGGGTTTAAATTTCATCATCCTCAAGCACTAAAATAAGTTAACGAAATTTCTTGTCTGGCAAAGAATTAAGGGGTGAGATTTTGGCTAGCAAAGAATCACTAAATAAACGGCAATTAGTAGTTGCATTACAAATCCTTCATGAACTGGATTGCGGTTTAATTCATGGTTCATTTACTTAGGATTTTATCCCAATATTTATATATTTTTTAATTTTATTTTAGATTTAGACTTCTCATATGTTAAAAGATTAAAAAAAAAAGGACCCTTTCTCAATCATTTTTTTTTCTTAATTATTAAAGTCAAAAGTAGTGTTTACACATTAATCTAAAAACCGTTGGATTGTACTACTTCTGGATAAAAAAATGCACCGTCAGTAAAACCGCTCGCATAAGAGAACCGCTCTTCTTATACGTACAAAATAAACTACCATTACCGTTAAACAATCACTCTCTTGAAGCACCGCCGCCATTTCTGATTTCGCCGGAAATCCCCCCAAAGGATTCTGATTTTCATGGAATTAGGGTTAGAGTTTTAGCATTGTACGGGAAAATAAAGAATGAAGCATCCGTATAACTATAATCACCACATTCATCAATCTCAACGTAGCGCATTTGCCGCACCTTCCCTCCTTCCTTACCAATTTTTCTCCCAAATCTCTTCGCCCTTCTTGGACCAGCCTCTCCCTCTTTATTCTCCGTAATTTCTAATTTTCCACATATCGTTTTCTTTTTCTTTGTATAATTTATTCCACATTTGATTTTGTTGCTGGAGTTTTATTTGTAGGTTAAATTTCGATAATAATATTTAGTAATTGTTTTTATATATGCTTGCGTTTCACTATGATTTTTCTAAGAATAAATTGAAGGAGCTGTTTCATTTGCAGGAATTGAATGCCCCGAAACCTAGGCACTTTTCTTTACTTGAGGTTGCTTTATATCGGGAAACAGTTAGTATTCTTTTTGGTTGATTTTTGTTTTATGAAATTGTTTAATTGTTGGTGAAAAGACTTCAAATTTCAATACTCTCTTTTTGAATATGTTGCATCTTCAGCCGATTAAGCAACCGTCCAATCTCTGGTCTCCCTTGCCACATCAAGGATGGAAACCTTGCATCGACTCTGCCAATATCCCATGTAAGTGTCTGAAGATTTGTTTATATAATAATGCTTATAGGAATCGTAGGAATCTTGGATTTAGTAATTAAGTGGACCTCTAAAAGGAATTAGATGAGAATTTTTACTTTCCCTAATAAGCTTGTTTTCACTTTTTGAAGCATTGCCAGAGAAATCTCAGGGGTATATTCAGGTATTTGTTGATGGAGGATTGAACCAGCAAAGAATGGGGGTGAGTTCATGAATTGCTAATGCATGTCTTTGTACTTTGATTTTGGTGCATTAGTTTTTGACTTATTTTATTTATTCTATTTATTTATTTTTTGTTACTAAGATATGTGATGCAGTTGCTGTTGCTAAAATATTGAATGCCACACTGGTGATACCACACCTTGAAGTCAATCCCGTTTGGCAAGATTCAAGGTATTTCATGAGTAAGATATACAACCTATCCTGGTTTCTATTTTTTAATGTGAGGAGATATTTGTGAATTCAGATTTGCTGTTGCAGTTCATTTACAGATATATTTGATGTGGATCACTTTATTAATGTTCTGCGTGATGAAGTTTATATAGTTAAAGAGCTGTCTAGAGAATACTCTTGGAGCACAAGGGAATATTATGCTACAGGTATAAGAGCTACTGGAATCAAAATGGCACCTGTTCATGCTTCAACTGACTGGTACCTGGAAAATGTGTTGCCTGTCTTGCTAAGGTAAAGGTTTAAGCAACAAATTCACTTTTGTGATAAATTAATACCATTTTCAGCCCTTATGTGAGATATCCACTTGGAGAACAAATCTGTGCGCTTGTGTGTTCACTTCAACTATTTCAAAGAACATGATTGTTGTGGTTGTTGATATATCTTTATGAATGCAGTTATGAAATTGCTGCTATTTCACCATTCTCCCATCTTCTAGTGTTTGACAAGTTGCCTATGAAAATTCAGCACTTACATTGTAAAGTAAACGTCCAAGCTTTAGTTTTTGTTTCTCAGAATAGATCAATGGGATAGACCCTTGTTCATCAGCTCCGTTTTCCTTTTCAGAAGCATCAAACATCAGGGACTGAGGTCCTACGTGGGAGAATAGTTGATACTGAGAAGGAGGGAGCTGGGAAGTTTGTTCTATTACATCTTCGCTTTGATAAAGTATGAATTCCGACTATATCAAATATTGAGTAAACCAATTGATGTATTTGTAGTGTTCCTGGAACCTCTTTGGCTAAAATTAGAAGATGATGCTCAGCCTTTTATGATTAAAATGAATGAACTCTTTTTAAATAATTTCTGCAGGAATTGTTGCACTAGTGCACTTTGAAGTTGGTAGAATACACCTAAACATCAAAAGCATACTTACCTTTATATTTCAAGCACCCTATATGGTAGTTTCTGGGTAATAGCACCAGTGTGTCTGTTGTTCACTACGTCATCTCTTTGATGAGTATTGAGCCTTTTGGTTCTTTAGCTATTGATTATACTGCATTCTTATCTGAATATATATATATATATATATATAATACTGTAATCACTTTTCTAATCAGACCTTGTGCAGGATATGGCTGCTAATTCAGCTTGTGATTTTGGTGGAGGCAAAGCTGAGAAATTGGCCCTAGCTAAATACCGTAAAGTTTTATGGCAGCGAAGGGTCTTAAACTCTCAATTCACTGACAATGGGTTGAGAAATCAGGGGCGGTGCCATTGACTCCAGAGGAGATTGGATTGCTGCTAGTGGCTTTGGGCTTCAACAACAGTACTCGACTCTATCTTGCTTCACGCAAAGTCCGTTTTCATCCTTCTTGCTTGATAGTTGAAGTTATTTATCATCTTCTTAGATTGCAAAGTAGGAGGCCCTTATGATCTTTTTCATATTCACTAGTTTACTTTTAAAAGTTCCTTTTTTTTTTTTCAGTGGGACGTTGATTTGAAAGAAGCGTTTTTCCCTTTTCAGGTTTATGGAGGAGAGGCAAGGATTTCAACATTGCGTAAACTGTTTCTGCTAATGGAAGATAAGAAGAGCCTCTCTTCGGAGAAGGAGCTAGCTAAGGTTGAAGGCAAGGCTTCTTTGTTGGCTGCAGTTGATTATTATGAGTCTGCAAAGTGACATCTTCATCTCTGCTTCTCCTGGAAACATGCATAATGCTTTGTTAAGAATCTCCTTTAAAGTTCCCTTGCAAAAAAGAGTTACTAGCATTTTATTGTTTTGAGTATAAAAATTTCATTGGTTAAAATTTCAATATGTCATATAGAAGAAATTTTGTGAATGAGAGTTCATATCTCTTTTCAGCTCGGACATTGAGCTTACTTTAACTTGAATACCATAAGACCAAACATGTTACTCTTAAGACCAAGCATGGAGTGGACTGAGTTTCAGCATGCAGTTATCAATAGACATAAAAATAGACAAGGGCAAATGAGGTTAAGAAAGGAGAAGGAATCCATATATACATATCCTGCTCCTGATTGCATGTGTCGAACTTAACTTTGTAAAAAACATCATGATATGAAAGCTATTTTATGTTTATCAAGATCAATTTGATGGCAATTGAAAATGAAATGAGCATGTTCGCCCACTTGCCGAAAGTGGGTCGAGAAACGGATAATACTCACAATTATGGGAGGATTCCATTGATACAGAAGAAAGCTAACATATTGGGCGGGGTCGAACTGTGAAGATAAGGAATCAAAGAGACCGACTCATCTCGCCTTTGCATGTTTTCGATTTGACTCATCTCGTTCTTCCTCTAGCTACATTCCTTAACCAATATGATGTACCGCATAATAGCGACAAATTCTCTCAATGAATCTTGCCTCAATTTGGATCATCAGCTCTTATTACCATTATTCAACAACCTTTTATTTACCCACGAAAGTTTATTCAGTTGTTTAAGTATTTACGCGCAAGGTTAATCCAGTTGTTATACTAGTCATTTTGAATTCGATTTTTTAAGGAACATTTTCAAAATATAATCTACTCCCATTCTAAAGAAAATTTGAAAATATATAAAAATAACTACCTTTTATTTTTCGTAAAAGAAAACTAATCAACAAATTGACTCCAAAACAATCAAACTAATAATGGGAAATAGTTACCCCAAAATAGAAGAAACAAATGGGGAGAATCTGCCTGCTAAATTTCTATGTTTTCCCCCTATTTTAGTCCATTAAATTACCCCCAGAATTTTGAATTAAACATTTATTTACAAGCGCAGGATGAGTACACAATGAATAATGCCAGCTTCAAAAACACAGCTGGGCATTACAACTTATAAACCGCAAGCGGATGCAATTCTGTATCCTACTAATTATTTGGGGAACCACCATTAACTACTGGCATCTGACCATCTTTCTTGTCCTTGCCCACAAGATGAGTCCCACTTCCACTCTGGTGATCACTTAATTCCTTCGAATCTTTGGAAAAAGTGGATGGAGCTATTTCTTCCTCAATTGGTAGGGTCAGTTTTGAGCGCTCCAGGGCAACGCCAAGAACGATGTTCTCTTCCAATGAAGGCCTGGCTACTGATGGCAGCGCAACAGACTTGTCAACATCCTGCTTTGCATGTGAAAACCCCAATGGAATTTCAGATTCTTCGTTTATGGATTGTGAGTTAGCACCGGGAGATTTCTCAGTGATCACCACCCTTCCTGAGCTCGTTGTCTTCCAAGTTTCACCCCTGCTCTCACTGAATTGCTTTTCAGAGTTGACTTCAACTAAATCATCAGGCACCGGATTCCCCCTTTGAGCCTCATACAAAGTCACTTTTGAACTTGAACTGGAGGTGGTGGTTGACGATGCCATAACCTTATCTCCTTGGGAGTCAACAGTAGATGTTGATCCAGACTTAGTATTTGCCTTTGAGTCAGATGTTGAGATTGCTTCCTCTGTGAAATCTTTTTCTTCATTCGTACGTGTTGAAGCTTTAACATTGTCATCACCTTTGATTTTATAAGAGGGTTCAATGAGAAGAAGTGGACGGTTACTAGCTGCTCCAGAACGCCTGAAAATGGTATCAGCAAATGGTACATCTTCTATTTCGGCCTCGCTGTATATTTTCTGAACTGTGCGGATAGGGGTGGCAAGTCGGGCCTGATGATGGCTAATAACTCTGAGAAGATCCAAGAGTATGGCTTCCTGTTGCAATGCTATCATTAGGATCAAATAGAACATTATGTATGTGGTGTCTATCCGTGTATATGCATGTACAAAGTCATCAATTCACCAGTAAATTATGCTAATTACAGTCGGCAGCATCCAAACAAAACTTCCAAGGATCCAATATTGTTCCAAGCAAAGATTGTCAAAGCTTCTTTTACTATACCCTTTTGAACATTATGATGCCAAAGTAGCAGGGGACAATCAACAATACCATGATACACTATTAAACAACCAGAGATTTATACACTAAAAGCCACAATTGAGAGATTGAAAACATTATTTTTTTCATCTAGAGATTCTAAATCACCACTTCATATTATAATAGCATATCTTTACTGAAGCACAGAGTAAGAAGGAAGTTACCTTAACACAGAGGTATTCTTCAATATGTGATGTTTTCACGAAACAAGAAACCAAAATCTGAAAAATATGAACAAATAAAAAGGAAGTTAAAAACTTCAAACAGAAGCAATTGCCATTACTCAAAAAGAAAGAGTTAACAGCCACGAAGTCTAGGCTGAAACTTTGTATTTTGTTAGTACATCATTTACATTGATGCAAGAAAGACAAAATGAACTAATGGGCTAAGTTGGGAAGCCAATAGACCAAAATAGAGTCTAGAAATTGCCATTATGAACAAACTAAATCAGCTCAAAGAAAATTTAAGGGCCAAAATGAATTATCAGAAATTTCTAGGAACAAACTGGGTCATAGCATTTTCAATGAAATGCAATTGGAAGAAAGAAAAATAAAAAAACTTGACATTACATTAAATTATTTTATATGGGAAAAAAAATGACAACCAAAAAATCTCACCATAAGAGCCTGGTTTTCTGGATCAATGCTTTCCAAAAATACTCTTCTATGTAATTTTTGCTGCTCTACTTGAGGATTTTTGGCTAAAACCTTCCGCATATCAGCTACTACATTCTGCACAGAGAAAAGGTACACAGTTTCTAGCATGAGCTCTAGAAAGAAAACAAGTTGGTCCTTACTTGACAAGTTAACAGCAAGACAAACTGAAACTTCTTACATTGATTTTGTTAAAGTCCAAGTGAGCAATGGCAAAGTAATTCTTGATGCGCCAATGGGTCTTCTGGCTAAGGTTCCTCACAACATTCACAGTGAACTTGTGGTTTGGAATGTGAACTGCCTCGCGGTCATCACCTCTTATAATTGTTGGTGACCACCATCCAACATGCTGAAAGTAAACACAAGTAAACAAGTTGTTCAATCTCTCAGATTGCTTAAAGGCGCCAAATAGAGCAAAGTAAGCACAAACCTCAACTGTCCCTGAAACTTCATAGCCTTCTATGTTAGTTTGAATCCATTCATTGACAATAAATGGCCTTGTTGCATGGATCATTACACTTGAAAGAAAATTTGTAAAAATCTGAATGCACAAAACGTACAAATAAGTCAAGAAAGGATCGGAAAAAAAACTTCACATTAAAGAACGTAAGGAAATTGATAAGAGTGCTAAAATAAGGATGATATGAAATGTGCTATGCGCAAGAGCACACAAACACTGATTGCATACTTAACAGATAATACCAGAGGTGAGAAACATGAGATGGTGAATGCATGAAAGAAAAAAAACAGTCAAGAAAAGGCCAAAGAAACTTTACTATCAAAGCACATGATGAAGATGCACATAAGAATGATGTATGATGTGCTATGAAAAGGAATACCAGACTTTAATCAATATTGCTATGCACATTAATATTATCATATATGCTATGACATGTAGAAATATCTCAACAAGTTTTTTTAAAAAGAGGAAGAATCATGGCTCTGAAGATACAAAAATTTTTAGGATTATTGGGTCAAGATAATTTCAAAATTTGAGGCTAATGTTCATCTACCTTTTGTATATAATTACACTGTCACCTATGATGCTTATTACTCAGGAAAGTAATAAAAGGTTTTTCAAGAAATAAGAGGCAAATTCATTTCATTTATTCATTACAAAGATAGAAGGCAACCAATTTACCTCACGACCAGCAAGCGTGATCAATACTGTGCCAAGTCCACCAGCAGTTACCCACTTCTGGGTAGAAAAACCGAGCAACTCCATGAACAATGATACAGCAGCAACCCATACTGCAGTATAAACAGCTTTTCCAGCAAAATCAAAGCCCATCTGTCAATAGAATAAACAACCGTTTTAAGGTATGTCCATTGCAATCTGTAAGCGCCCTCAAGATGGCTATATTATTATTCCACAAATCACAAGACCAGATTTTCAGACAGAATAATCCAGAAAAGTGCTAAACTGTTTCTAAAAAAAGGTTGAAGGTTATAAATGGTGAAATGTTTTTTGCATTCAAAAAGCATAAAAATAATATCATCCTTCCTGCAGCCCTCAAACGAGTGGTATTATTTAACATATAGTGGAGACTGGAGAAATATTCATCAGATTGACCTAAGTCACTAAAATTAAGATACATCATTACAATCTTTCTGCAAATTGATAATTGATGCTGATGCTTCTAAGAGATTTGAGAAAGTCAAATTATGTGAAAGTAACAGAACATACATTTCTTGCATCATTAGAGTCATTCATCTCCATAAAGAATTTTTGCACCTGTTGAATCAAGCTGCAAGAAAAATACATGGTTGCACGTTAAAGTCATAGTTCAAGCTCCTAAAACTAGTCTTAACAATCAGAATAAATGGGCAAGCAACAAGCTATCTTAATAACGTGCACAAGAAACATGACATGTTAAAACCTAATAGGCACACAAAAAAGCACTCTTAAAAACAAGAATGTCCACCCCTGCAAACATAGAAAAACGCAACTACGCACAATAGCCTCCTTTGTCCCCTAAATAACCCCTTCCAACCAAAAAAGAAAATGAAGATAAAGAATGAAATTTAAACAATAAAGAAATATCAAAAGAAATGTATATGTAATATGTCATTTGTTAAAAACTTAAGAGTGAAAGCAGCCCATTGAACCCACCTTGACAAACAATAAGAAAAAGCTAGCACTGTTGATAATGATCGCGCAAAATTTACAAGTCGTTGCTTGACAGCCTGGCTTGCTTCTGAGGGTAAAACTACTGGATCTAATGCTCTGAAAAAAAAATATGAAATTGTCAGACCAACAAAATGGCTGCAAAAATATGAAGATTCAACTCTAATCCCTTTTGGGGGCACCTGCAGATGAGTGTCGCTCCAGTCCACAGCAGCACAGGTCGAAGATAATAGCTCATAATATGATATGTTCTACTTTTCTTCCAACTACTATCCCTCCTCTGCAGAAAATTGCAAGGTTTTGATGTTATAAAGGAATTCTACCATCATAGAAGACAAGGGCGTGTAGAATGGTATTAAGTGTTTACATGGAAAAAGATAACCCTGCCCAGCTGCATAAGTGGCCCAAGACCCCATACAGCAAAAGCAATAAGCCCAACTGCTGGGATCAACCTAGGTACAATAGAGCTTCCATGTAAAGTACCAAATGTCCTGATACATCCGCATAAAAAAATGAGTAGAGATAATATATTAAGGAACAAAAAAGAAAAGATGCATGAAGCTACAAAAGAAAATAGCACTGAACTAGCCTCACCTAATAGAACCTCACCCCCCCAACCTCACTTAAAAATCATTAATTTGAATATAAAACTATAGTAAAGTTGTTGTCTCCAACAGGAGAGAAAATATATAGCATAATGAGTATTAGAGGATGATAGCAACTCACTCAAATAAATAACAAAATTTGGCAAATGCTGCTCAGAACTTGGAGAGGAAAGTTTTCCTACTGTCACTTAGCACCTCTAAATAAAATAAGAAAACCCTTATCCAGTTACTTTACTATTCTGCACTCTTTTTAAATTAGTAAAGCCTAAAATATCCTTTTTTGAAAACTGATGCCCCAAAAAGCAAGAAAAGGCCACATGTTGTAGATCAGCCCAAGCATCTTTATAATATAAAAAACTAATGAATCTTGATATGGAATTTTGAAGTTCAAGGCCAGTGAGTTACTCAAGATTGCCTTTATCTGTGGAGAGTTACTTAAGGGAAGGATGGTGTGGAAGGCTGCACATACGAAATCTACTACATAAAAAGGTTTATATTTCCAACGGGACCCATATATCCTACAAACTTATGAATAATTTAGCTAGAGTTTTATTACAAATAAACGGGATTCATAAATCTTCCCAGGATTCAAAATAGAAGTATCTGCTTTTGGTATTTAGACAGCAAAAAGAAAAGAATCTACAAGGAAAACAGAACGTATGAAACAAATATAGATCACCTTGTCAAAACCGTACTAGCAGATTTTAGAATAGGAATCTCATTTCCCCCAGTAGGAATTAGAACAGATCGGCAGAGAATGACATTAGACCTGGAATATACAGGTCTTATTGGCATACAGACACTGCTCAAAAGATGAAGACTCCAAGCATCCTGTCGCTGGATAAGAAACAGAAGAACTTTTAATGTCTCCAGCCTTTATTGAGAGATTAGAATTTCTAAATGTAGTTATCACATGAACACATACAAATGCATAACACATTCACACAAACCAACTCTCATGTTATGCTAAACTACAAGAAGTAACTGAATAAACTCGGCAAATAGCAAGTGGTTATATAGCCAAAAAAAACAAGGTAGAATAAACATTGCTACATACATAATGCAAACATAAACCTCTGCAACCATCACGGGAAAAGAAAATCATACCATAGCGTATGAGGAAAGATTGATACGAACCAAATGTAATCTGCTTTTTTCCATCACACCCTGTTGACTCACAGATTCAGTTGCAAACACTTCAAGAAGAAAGGACGGGACATAATAATTGTTAAACAATAAGATTAATGATTACATACAATGTGCTGGCTACCGCATCCATGACTATTGTGAATTTTCAGTTCATGAGACAATTGCATAGAAGCAACACGCGTCATCCTTTAACGAAAAAGGAGTCAAAATTCTTTTAGGAGGACAATATCACCTTATAGAGTCCCAACTTGAAACTAATTTATACCTTAAAAGCTCAAATAAGCAATAAATTTTCCAAACAATTAACACCTGCAAATAAACAAGAAATATAGAAATTAACAATTTAATCACAACAAAGAACTTAACTAAGTCAAGAATAGTGAAAAGTGAAATTAAAATTGCGTAATTCAAAGGATAATTAAATGGAAGCATAAATTCAAATCCCTAGATCCCAAATGCCTAATTATGACACAATGAAATTCACATAAAACCAGAAATTTGACATTTTTTTTTTCATATGGATTAGCAAAAAATAAATGGCCATAATTAATCTCAATAGAAAAGTCATGATTGCTACAAATTTTACCATACAGAAAAGGGGAAAAAAGAAATACATTAAAAATAAATTGGTGAAACTGATAAATAAATAAATAAATAAATAAACTTGCTACCTTTGAGACGAAACAGAATATAATTTCCCGGAGGTGTTTTTTTTTGCTTGTGCTTTTGATAATGGAGAATGGGTTTTTTTTTTTTTGAGTTAAAGGGAATTGATGGAGATGACCGAAGTACGAAATGGCTGCGGTGGAGCAAACGTGCGCCAGGGGTGGGTTGATTTTTCTAAAGCCGATGTGGTCCAATCGATCGGCGAATTTGAAGATGAGCGTTTCGTCGTTAATGACTGTTAACCATATGCGGCGATTTGAGGTTGCCAACGTGGCGGAGTTTTATCCATTGGAACAATCTCCGCCCTTTCTATCCTTTTTTTCGTCGCTGTAGATTGCGAGCTTTGCCACGTCAGCTGTGGTCCAGAACACTAAGACTAATTCCAACACGCGACCACTCTCTATTTTTAATGAAAAAAAGAAAAAGAAATTTCAAACTCGTATTTTTGCTAATTAGTGATATTTTCACTTATTACCAAATGAGAAAATAAAAAATAGTATTATTAAAATATTCTTAATGTGCAGTTTAAAAGTCATCAATTGTGATCTATTCTCTAAATTATAATGTAAACATTTAAAATTTTATTACAAAATTAATTCTTAACAAGCTTTTAATAATTATTATCAACATCTTGATCTCTAGTTCGTCTGCACTCATACATAATCTCTTACAAATTGTAATTTTATTTTATTAATTATCTTATCTTTTACGAAATATAAAAAATTAATTTACTAATCATATGATATATAAATTATCTTTACTTATTTAAATGTGTATTAAAATATAAATTAATATTATTTAATTACTTTTATATTTTAAACATATACTACACGTATATTATAATTAAGATATCAAATCATAATAAATTAATTATAAATATTTTTAAATTTAAATATATATACATATATATAATAAGTGATATTTGTATTTTTGAAATTAAAAAAAAAACCTAAAAGATTATAAAAAAAGTTTAAAAAAATGATAGGTGAAATTTTAATAAAATAAGATTATTTTTTTAGTTTTATATTTTTATTATAATTTATTGAGATTTTTTATTTAAAAAAAAAACAAAGAGAATTAATCATAAATAATTTAAATAAATTTTATTTTTGATTATTTTGATATTTGAAATTAAATCATGTATAATAGGTACTGTTTATATGTCAAAAAAAATTCATCTCAACCCCCACATAACAAAGCTTTTCATATATCCCTTATATGTTATAATACAATATATATGATTCAATTAAACATATAATAATTTTGAATGAATACTTTAAGTTTCATTATTTTTTTTCTCTCTCAAAAATCGTTTCGAAATCCTAAATTCTTACATTCTTTAATGTTATTCTCTTCGACAAATTTGAGACAATCACAAATTTAATCTCTAGTTAATTCTGTCTTTACCGAAGTAGAAGTGCATCAAAGTATATGATTTTATGGTAAGATTTGTAAATACTGAAATATCATAAAAAAAAAAAAACTATTCAAAAAATTTGACCATGGACGGAGAGTTTGTTCTTTGTTGTTACTCTCCGTCATTATTGAAATTTCCAACACGTGCTGGCTTTTGCTATTGGATATTTTCTCCCAAGGGATGGCCGCCGCACGTGAAAAACGGAGTTTTAACCATGTAGATGAACATGTAGATACTTCATTCTCTCGCTTTGTAATTAGGTGAGGAAAATCCAAACCCTCAATTAAGTAAGTGAATTTAACACGAAATTACACTTTTTTTAATCCTCAACTTGCCCATAATCACACATTTATCCATTGTTTTTATGATCTCAAACTATACAATATGTAAAAACTATTTTAAAAAATAATTACCATTCAAATTTTTATTGTTTAAATCTCACTATGAATTTATTTTAACTAATGAAACATACTATGATTTGTACACAATTAATGTTAATTTGACTTTGCTTGAAGTTGGCTTGAAATTTGAAGGAGTTTTGAAATGTTAATTTTTTATAATCAACTTAAAAATGAAATGGTTTGAAAATTTTAAATCCAAACAATTTGAAAATAAAAAAAAAATATTTAATAATAAATTTTCAATATCAAAATAATTTTTTTTTCATTCTCCAATTTATGTCATCCCAAAAATTGATCAACATTATTTAAGATAATATCTTAAATAATCTTAAAAAAATAAGTAATTCCTAAAATAAATACTAAAAAAAAGATCTAATCTATATCTTATGATTAATAATCATATGATTTAACTAACTGAATTACTCTAATTTTTTTATATTTTATTTTTTAAATCTTATAAGTAATGAAAATAATTATTTAAAATATTTTTAGTCAAAATACCTTAAATAATCTTTTTTAAAAAAATTAACACGCTAAAAGGAGGAATTAAACTAATAATCTTATGATTAACAACTATATACTCTAATCAACTGAATTATTATAATTTTTTCATATTTTATTTTTTAAATCTTATAAATAATAAAATGAACTATTTAAGATGTTTTTAATAAAAAAAATACAGTCAAAAATATGAAGAAATTATTTAAGGTCTTTTTTAATCAAAAATATTTTAAATAATCTTTTTTTTAAAAATTAAAGATTTTTTAAGGTATTTTTTTCCAAAAATACCTTAAATAATCTCTTCATATTTTTTAAATGATATTTATTTAAGGTACTTTTGAATAAAAAATATTTTAAATAATCTATTTTTAAAAAATAAAAAAATAATTTAAGGCATTTTTCAATTGAAAATGTCTTAAATAATTTCTAATTTTTTTTATTGATGATATTTTATAAATAAAAATAACAATCAAATAAAATATCTTTTTTATTGTTAAAGGTATCATTTATTGTTTGAATATTTATTATTAATAAAAATTAAGAAAAATTTACTATCATATATATTAAAAAAATTATGATAATTATTTATGAATTAATATATATATATATATAAATTTTTTACAATTAAACGAATGAATTTAAATAAAAAATATTCTGATAATAAAAAAATTAAATATTATAATTTTTTAATTTTATTTTTGTAAATCTAAAATTTCGTTAACCAAACACTTGATTTTATTTCTCTCACTTTCCACCAATATTTGTTAATAATGCCATGGATTTCTTTACTCACAGATTTCGGCAACAAGAAGTAATTCATCGCGTAAGTAGGAATTGCCTGAAGGATAGACTTCATGAATATCTCCTTTCCATCATACGAAAGCACTTACCTTTACCCAAGCTTTTATCTTTCCTCTGACCTTACCTTTAATATCCCGAAAAGCGCTAGATCTTCCCGTGCCCACCAAAGTTGGTAGCCCAAGGTACTTCTCCGGGCTTGAAGTTGTTTGAATGTCGAAAATGTTTTGGATTTCTTCTCTCAACAAATCCTGTGTATTATTGCTAAAAAATAAGGCCGATTTGTCGAAGTTGATTTTTTGTCCAGAACCATTTTCATAGACCTGTAGTATGTGCTTCACCTTTTCGCCCTCGCTTCTATTTGCTTTTGCAAATAGTAAGCTGTTGTCAACGAGAAATAAGTTACTAATCCTGGGACCCTTTCGATTGGCTTGGACGCCATGCATTAAACCATCCCTTTCTGCCTTAACAAGTAAAGCTGATAACCACTCATTACAGATAAGGAATAGATATGAGGACAATGGGTTGCCTTGTCTAAGGCCTCTGGCCGGGCTAAACCTGTCCCTAATTAATTCATTCGGAACAATAGAGTAAGATATAGTTGATATACACCTCATGATAGGAGAAATTCATCTATCATGAAAGCCAACTTTTTCCATCATAGCCCGCAAGAACTGCCATTTAACCCCATCGTATGCCTTACTCATATTGAACTTTAGGGCAAAAGAAATCATTTAATTTAAATGAATGATGTTCTTCAGGTACATGCAAATATGAGATTAAATGCATGTTTAATTCATGGTTTTGTTATGTGATGGATATTTGTTATTTGCAATATCTCTTTAAGGGCTACACAGGCTATGTAATAAAATTTTGGCATTTAGTATCTAAAATACCATTTAAATAGTAATCTATTGACAATAGGTGATATATGTTGTTGTGATTGTGATACCCGAATTATACTCCACTTTAACTTTTCTAGTTCCTTTGTGTCAATAACCTGTCAGCTAAGTCATATTAGTTTGAAACAAAAAATAATTGTATCACATGGCTTGCTCAAGTAATAAGGGTGGGATGGGCAATGGGTAGAGATCTTAGGTTTGAGCCATATTGCTCCTCCTATACCAAAAGAAACAATAAAACAATTTTTCCATTATAATAGCAGCTTTCAAATGAATATTAAAGGGAATGTAGTTGTTATTTGTTTCTAAGACTTGTTAGCACTAAGCAGAAATTTAGTGTTGTTACTTGTTAAATATAAAGACAGAAATGTGAATGAAAATGATATGTGAAATTTTTTCCCAAAATTTTGGAGCTGTGTAATTTAGATAATTCTAGCAACAAATTTTTTGGTCAGCATTTAATTATTGTTTCTTTTTTCTTAATAACTAGCTTAAGAAAGAGGGAAGGAGAAATAAGTATGAGATGCACAAGCTCCTAGCTCTGAATCAGATGCAAAAAATGGTAACATTTATTTTCACATAGAAAGCTTTGATCTTTCTAATTCTAAGGAACTGTTCCCACTCTTTGCATATGCATGTTAGGTTTTGCAAAGAAAGACTGAAGAGGCTGCTATGGCTACAAAAAGGCTTAAGGAGCTTCTAGAATCTCGAAAGGCTTCCTCACGTGAAGCTTCCAGTTAGGAGCATTTTTATGTAATGCAGTTTATACTTGTTTTTTGTAGTTATAACTCAATGACAATATTATCTTTGACATGCAGACGCTGGAAATGGCAATGGTCCTGGAATTCAGGTATTGATACTGCAAACATATCAAACAGTTTGTTTTGGAATTGATTAGACCAAATAGTTTTGTTCTAAAATATCTTATTGAATTGTCATGATAGGGGTTATGTTTTCAATTTTTTTCATACTTGGGGATTTTGATGCATGTTCTAAGTGGTTCTCTTTTTTAATATAATATATTTTTCTTCTTTTGAAGGGAATAATGCTTACAATTGAGCATGAACTTGAGGTCACGGTACGGGTACATGAAGTGCGCTATAAATATGAACAGCAAATAGAAGAGTGAGTCCTCTTTATTTATTTCATGTGCAGCTCTGTGAGTTTTTGTTGCTTCTGTACCATATTTAGCTATTAATGTGTTAATTTTTCATTTTATTTCGTTTACTTATTTGGTTTGAGCTCTCATTTTATTCCAATTCAGGTTTTACTTTAGCACTCTGACACTGTTCAAGAGTACTGGTTTAAATCTAGGAGTCTGAGTTGAATGCCTTTAACCTTCTCTCTCTCTTTTTTGTTTTAGTTATGGTCAACATTGATGACCAGTCTATAATTTTAGATCTTCTGGTTTGACCGGGTTGACCATTGAATTGTTTCCGTGATGTTTGAATGCTTGTTAAAACATGATGTTTTACATTCTGTATAATGTCCCATATTCTGCTTTCATGTGCATTCTGCCAGAGTGGCAATAAATTCTTTGGTTTCTGCATTGCTCGATCTCTTTGTTTTAAAAAATTAGTAACACTACTAAAGATACTCTGCTAGTAGCCTTTTTACAATAACATTAAACTAAATCTTATATCCAATAACCATGACATCTGCTGCATGAAAGGTAAAAAAAAAAAATCATGTTAAGCTGTAATTTTGAATCTTGCCAATAGCCTTTTTATGGTGTTAATTTTTAACTAAAAGGAAAATTTTGTTTGCAAACCCTAGATCTGAAGGTAGATTTAAAAGTTAAGGAGAATGTTTCATGGTTCCAGCTCAGTGTGAATACTTAGGAAGGATTTACATTTTAGAGGTTCTGTGATTAATTTGAGTTGTATGCTTATGGAATTGGTTTAACTCTCAGTTTTATTTTTGGTCTTTGGTTTTCTGGTCTCCCTATTCTCTTTTTGACAAGATTGTGCATTGATTAGGGATGCCGGTCTACTCCCCTCCTCCATGGAAAAAAAAAAAGAAAAAGAGGAAAGAAAGGACTGATTGTCATGCTCAAAAGATTTCATAATACTTTACGTTTTGGCAAATTTTCTGTAGTCTTTTGATCGTGCTTTTCTTGATTTTGTTTATTGCTCCATCTTCTCTCTAGCTCTTCGTTTCTGTGAGGATGGCAGAGAAAGTTTTACATAAGGGCATTTGGGCTAAATATCAACTAAGTTCTATTACATATGATAAGATTACAACTAGGAAGTGGAACCTTTCTTATTGTGCTGTTTTCTAATTTATAATGTTGTTGAATCTATTAAAATAATGTTCTGTTTGTACATAGGAGGGCCAGGATGGCCATGGAGGTAGCAAGACTGAAGGGAGAAACTGAGATACTTAAGCACTGTGATTTAAGGTTAAAACTTTTGCTTATATGTATATGCTCTTCATGATCTGAATTGTTTTCTCTTTTTTCTCCATATTTTTATGTAAACCAATGATCAAATACTTTTCCTTTAATGCTACCAAATGCAGAGATTGTCCTAAGACAATGTCTCCTGGTGCAAGAAACTCAAGGATTTTTGCCTTTGAAAGCATGCTTGCTGCTACTTCTAGCACTCTGGTCTCTTGGCCTCGCAATTGTCTGAAGCTGAAGAGCGTGAACGTATTTTTAGTGGAAGAGGACGTTGGAATCATGTTTGGTCTCTTGCTGATGCAAAAAATATTATGAATTATCTGTTCAATTTAGCATCATCCTCAAGGTACTGCATCTTTCAAAAGAGAAAATTTTCATGCTAATATTTCAATTTCCATTTTTTAGTAATTGATTTGCTGCAACTTTTTGCTTTTGTTATCATGATGTGCTGTCCCTTCTTTCAAGGTGCTCATTGCGAGATAAGAAAGTGCATTTCTGAGAAAAGGATGTGGAAAAAAGAGATCTAAAATAAAAGGTGGTGAAACATAGCAGTTTGACTAGACAACTTGAGATAAAAAGGGCTGATCTTGTTCATACAGTAAAAATGAAGGTTATTTCATTATTTATTGCTGTTCAATCTAACTTCAAGGGGTAAGGTATCCCTTTATATGCGTCCGCTGATCATTACCAGTTCTCTGTTCAATATTCTCCTTCGATGTCCGTTTAGCTTGGAATTTTGATTCTAATTTGCTATAAGTGAACCTTGTAACAGAATGTAACCATTAAGCACTCCATGAAAGGAGCCATGGCTTCTGGCATCTCTGACTTCAATGGCGGAAGACATAAGTATGAGTTGCGGAAGCAGGTAGGTGCCACTCCCCTCCTCTATAGCTTTCTATTGCATTTAGTTGTTACTTAAAGTAGAATGGTTTTAAGTAATTATTTCCTGACTTCAAAATGTTATTATAGGAACAGCGAAGTTCCGCAATCTCTACGGAGGACATGGATACATAAAAGTCAGAACATTCAGACATGGAAGCAAGTGATGATGATGACCGGGTGCAGTCAGAAAAAAAGCCAACAAGGAGAAGAGCTTCAAGTTTGGGGATTCATCAATCAGATACCAATGACTTAGAAAACATTAAGGGATGTACCGGTGAGGTTACGGGGAAAATCGATGGATTATACTGAACTTGCAGTAAGAAGTCTTGGTGCAAGACACCGAAATGCCAATGCAGAGCAAATGGAAATTCTTGCGGACAGTCATGTCGTTGTTCTTTCAAATGCTCCAACAGAGAAGCAGAAGCAGAAATGCCAAATGTTGTTGGCACTAACGAAGAGAAGAACCTTGTTGCTCATGGTGCAACGCTTCTTCAAAATGCATTCGAAGGTGAGCAGACAGCTGAAACAAATGACAATTGTACTACGACTACGAGGAGAAAAGCAGTTACAGACATTGGAAACACATTGGTATTATTTCTGGTCTTATATGATAAAAAGTTAAAAATTTATTTACCCATACTTTTGTTGTCCAAATTTTTAAACAATTGTATGCTTAGTTTAGCCTAATCCTCTTATTTTTTTGACAGGTTGCACCAAAGCCTAATAAGAGAAAGAAGTAGGGAAAATCAATGATTCAGCTGGTTCCTGTTGCCCCACCTTCAGCACCCCAAAATCCCGAGACATTGATCCTCCCAAAAAGCCAGATAACTGTGCAAGCGAGTCAGATATCCCTTTGAAGTTACCAAGAGCATTGCGATCAGCTTCATCAAAAGGCAGCAAATTGCTGAGAGAAAGACATGCTGATCAACAGGATGAATCAACCAACAACGAACCAGATGTCCTTGCTCCAAGCAGTCCTGTTAGGCCAACAAGAACATTAGAAGAGAAAGAGAACCGCCGCCGTTAACTTGGGAGATGATGTCCCATTCAATGGTAAATTATTCCACCACCGCAACCAGCATTGAGATGTATGTCATTTCCATGTAAAAAAAAAAATTTTTTTTTCCCTTTTTAATCCTTGTCCACGAAACGATCCAACATGTGAAGTTGGAATCCTTGAAAGTGATGATTGACTTGATTTTGTTTGGACAGTTGAAGACAGAGGTAGTGTCATATGCAGTCTCAATTGCTAACTACTACATTAAATTGATTCTTTTGACTGAAATTGACTCTTTGACATAAGCAGACTGAAATTGCCTGATTTCCAAGATTATTATTATTATTATTATTATTATTATTATTATTATTAGATTTAGAGTTTGGGGAAAATTATTAAATCTAAAAATTACTAGTTCTCTAAACTCTCAAATCTCACAAATTAATTTTTAGCTGTTTGATTTAGTGATCAATACAGTTTTCAAAAAGACATTAAGATTGAAGTTCGAACTTTAGTATCATCCTTTAATGTAAGGTTCTGTCCCCTTTAAATGACAAAAAAAAAAAATTATATAATTTTGACCCCTTAAAACCTTGCTCAAAATAAAAATAAGTCTTTAATGTCTTTATTACATGGAATTAATATTATAAACTTTTATTTTATTGCAATTAGATTTTAATAGTATAAAATATTTAATTTTTTCTTAATTTTTTTAGTTGGATATTCAATTTAAAAAAAAAATAACTTAAATTTATTTGGATGAGTTAAATTATAAATATTTTTAAAAAGTTATTTTTAAAATTTTGTTAATTGGATTTTATTCAATCATTTTTTTTAATTTAATGGGTATAATTATAATTAAATAAAATTTTTAATTTTAATTTCATGTAATAAAAGATTGAGAATTTAATTATATTTTTAAATAAAGAAGCAAAGTTGGGTATTAAACCTTTTAATATACTACTTGACAAAACTTCTGAAAAACTCTGTTAGAATAAAAATAGAGAAAATTTCGATTTAAATTTAGAGTGCGGTTAAAAATACTGACGTGGCATTAGAAGGTAATAAATACAAAATTAAGCGAGACATTTCCCAAGGACGAAATTCAAATTTTCATAAGAGGAAGAATTGCGCTCCCTTCTTCAAACGCTAAGCTGCAGCGGGGTTGAGAGAGACAAAAGAGAGCTCTGGTATGGTGTTAGGGCATTTCGTTCTTTCCTTCTTTGGAAATTAATTTGATCAACCGATTTATTTGACTAGAATCTTTATTTTCGATCATTTTCTACTGAATCATCTTTTGTTCGATTTTCACTTTGCAGAAAAATGAAGAAGCCAACTCGTCGCTCAAAGCAAAAGAGCGGCTCCGATTCTTCTTCTTCGCCGTCGATCATATCCGGCGATAAAGAAAACCATGACAAAAGAATCAATGATTTAGAGCTAGAAAACGAAGCTCTTAAGGTGATTCCATGCTTCGATTTTCTGATTTTCTTTTTTTGTTTATAAGGTCAATCTCGATGTTTTAGTGAGTCTTTTTGGTTGTTGAGAAAATGCAGGAATGTAATAGATTCAGTTGCAGGTGGATTTGGTTATACTAATAGTTTTGAATAAACAAAGCTGTTGTTCTCTTTAAATTTTTACTGATCTAGTGGAATCTGTTTGGTTGCTGAGAAATTTGGGTAAAATTATTTGGCATTGAGTTTGGGAATCCAGTTAGGTTGAAAAATTTTCTATTCTCATCATATTGTACTAAATGACTGAGATTCTATTTGATTTCTGAGGAAATGCAAGAAAGTGAGTGATTGAATTCTGCTTGAATCCCTTAAATTATCCATTTATAATGTGTTCTGAAGCAAATAAAATATTAATGAGACTATGCACCAAATATAGGGTTCAGTTAAAGTCTTCAACTTTTGACAAACATATTTCTGGTGAAAACTTCAGAAAAACAAGATTAGCTCATTTTTTTAGTACCCCTTTTGAATTTGCTTCTCAGCAACTAAATACGAGGTATTATTATCTCTCTTGTGGAGTGGCAGAGGGAGATTGAGGAACTAAGGAGCAAAATGGATGATGTTACACCCAATTCCTGTGTTGGTGTTCAAAAACTGAATCAAGGTTATCCTCAAAATTCAAAGACCTGTGCAGGAAAGGTATTTGATTCACATCATTTTTAAATGTTAGATGGTATTATGGTTCAAAAGTAAGCTATATTAAGCATTCTCAGGTTGTGGAGTTGAAGAAACTAGGCATACAGTCTCAACTCTCAGCAAAAAAGCCTGGATCTGATAAAATGTCAGAACAGTTTCAAGATGAGATTCAGAGATTAAAGGTTCAAAAGGTGAGTTTTTGCTTTAGATGAACATTTATGTACAATTATGATATTCATTTTGTTGCTTTTATTATTGATGGAAGTTTTCTTTGTTTAGGTTCAGCTCCAATGCAAGATGAAGCTCGAGTCAATGCAGTTTAGGTTATGTAAGACTTCACTCGAAAAAGAAATTCTTCAGGTACATTTGTTTATAGCATATTATCTATGCTTAAATGCTGCTCACGTTTGTCATTGTGAATCCTAGGAAATTGAATAATTATATGTTCAGGTCTTAAATTTTGTTCTCTTCTTTTATTAATTATGACAGTGCTCTTTCTAATATTCTGCCTTATCATAGATATCTAATTATGAGTGCCCTTGTGGTATTTGAGCTTTGTGTTTTACATTTTTAGTATGTTGGCACTACTTAATTAGGCTTTTCTATCCTGATTTACATTTAATTCTCTTTCACTAATCTGAATGCTGAATAGATTTTTTTTATTAACTCGTGAAAGTCTGAGATGCTTAACGATGTAACATTATGAACATGTCCCACATGAGGCATACAATAAAAGGAAAACAAAAATTTTTAATGCGCCTATGCAGGTAAATTATGTTGTTTTGTATATAAGTTGAGTATTAAGCATGGGGCACTGTCTTGGAACTGCCTATGATTGCTCACATAATCACTCTTTTCCATCATCAGTTAAAATTTATGTTGTTCTTCCCCTAGTTGTAATTTCAAGAGGATACACCATGAGATAGCAATTTCTGGTGGTGGAGGCACTTTATAATCCTTTTTCTCTTTAACAGCTTAAGAAAGAGCAAAGAAGGAACAACTATGAGAAGCATGTGCTCTCAACTCTCAACCAGAGGCAAAAGCATGTATGTCAGTCTATTTTTAAGATATCATATTTCGTTTTTCTGTCGACTTCAATTTAGTAAATAAGTTGTGAAGATAATTTTTTCTATCTTTTATGCCTTTATCTCAGGTTTTGCAGCGAAAAACAGAAGAAGCTTTTGTGGCAGCAAAACGTCTGAAAGATCTAATAGAATCCAAAAAGGCTTCATGTGGCAAAATAGCTGGTTAGCAAATAAGTAGTCCTCATGAATTTTTTTTTATTTGATTATGATTTATTGACTTTTCTTTTGCTTAAACAGATGCTAGAAATGGCAGCAAATTTGGAACTAAGGTATGTGTTACTGATCTAGGAACAAATAGATAAGGGAGGGATCAACTTACACCAGTGTAAAATTAAAAGGTTTTTCACCTTTTTTAACCATTGATTTCAATAGATTTAAGGGATAAGATAGACAAGTGGAAAAGAGGAAAATTTGTTTAATCTCATCCCTTGGATCTATTAAAATTAATGGTTAGAAAAAAGTGTAAAACTTTTTTGTGCAAGTTAATCCCTCCCCAATCAATAAATTCTTTTTAATATTGAATGTACTTTAATTGTAATTGGAATTTAAAAGAGATTTGTACATGTACTGCAAGGGTAAATGGATCATCATGATACATGCATATGTTTTTTATTTTTAAATTGAATAATGGAGGCAGTTTTCCCACAAGTTTATACCATGTGGAAGTTGATATCGGTTTTTTTCCTTTTTCTTTTCACTCTTTCCCTTGCTTTCTTCTTTGTTAATGTGTGTCCATGGGGCTGGGAGGGCAGGGGCAGTTGTTTGATGATTTTAATGATTGCGCTCCTGAAATGACACTGATGCAGGGTATTGAGCAGGATTTTGAAGTCAAAATGAAGCTTGATGAAGTATGTGCTAAATATGAACATCGAATTGAAAAGTGAGTTCCGCTAGTTAATTTAATGACAATTCCCTTATAGTCCTTAGTTTGAATTAGCTTTTATTTTTCCTTGCTATATATTATTTTGATATCTTTGTGTTTTTGTTGTTTAGCATAAAACTAGTTAAATCCATCTATTTCTTTGATACATTATTTTTAATTTCTAGAGGTCTAATTCCTTTCCAAGTCTATGGGATTAGGGAGTGTGTTAGTTTTCATTGCTTGCTAGCATGAATTCCTTATACCTAAAATTGATTTAAGTGGTACATTATTTTCTAGGATGGTTGATGAGATAAAGAAACTCAAGCTAGAAGTGGAGATACTTAGGGAGGAAAAATCTAGGTGGGATTCAGCTCTAACTTTCTCACCCCCAATAGGTTGTTACTACTGCTACAATGCTCATTAAATCTGTTCTTTCCTGCTCTTTCAAGTTGCAGGTCACAGGATAAAGAAGCTGCCATAAATGATTCAGAGTTAATTGATCTAAGAGAAGAAGTTGCTAAACTGAGTTGTATGGTTAGCCAAATGAATATGTCAAAGGCACAACTCATTCAAGCAGAGAGGTCACAAGTTAGTGCACTTTCCTGAAGCATAAGGCTTTTAATTTTGAAATTTTATTTGTGATATGGATTCACATTTAACTTAAAATTTCATTGGATGTGGAAGTAGGAAAAAATAAAATAATATTTAAACATTTGTAGGTCAATATTAAAAAGGAAATTAGAGGCCTAAAGATATGACATCTAATTTCTTCAGTTATGACTTCTGTTGATCAGGTCGACTCAGTCCGGACTTCTGTTTCCGTTGGGAGTAATATTCATGCATCAGACATGGATACATTTGAAGCGGAACATTCTGAAGGAATTATTGCAATGATAGAACGACCTTCAGGAGTCTGCTGCTCCTGTTCTAAAAAGTCTTTGTGTAAGACCCTGAAATGTGAATGTCGGGCTACAGGTAGCAACTGTGGAATGTCTTGTGGCTGTGCAATGGCTAAGTGCACAAACAGAGAGAAAGTTCCATTCAAATTAGATGACATGCCACAACCAAAGATGGTACAAGACATCATGCCAGGCAACATTGAAGAAGAGAAGGGCACAATTCAAGATGCAATTCTGCTTCAAAATAAAGTTGTTGAAAACCTTTTTGAGATGAACGAAGACTGGGGACCTAGAAAGCAGCCATTACGTGAGATTGGGAACACAATGGTATGCTTCCCTGCCACACTTTCCCCCCGGCCTCCTTTTTATGCATTTGAGTGTGTGCTTCATGTCCGCATTATCTTATTTATTCTTTCCACTGATACTTGGCATAATATGCTTTTTTGGTTAAGTAACCTGGAAAAATGAAACTTTCTTTTTGGTTCTTTGCCACTCATGCTCGGTCTAATATGCTTTGCCTAGAGTTAACCACACCACACACTTCCATCAAAAGAAAAAAGGGTTTAGTTGTCCATGTTTGTGTTGCAATTGGCTGGAGCCTTGTGATTTGGGTAATAACAATTTTTCCTCTAACAGAAAGTTGAATTCTTACAGAACACAATTACTGGAAAACCTGGCCCTAGAAAGAAAGGGCAAAAAGCAGCTATTCAGCCTCTTTCTCTGCTGGAAAATACAAAATGTCCTAGAAGAACAAACAAAAATTCAGGATAGCCCGTATAATTTTTCAACTGCCCTCGATATCGGCAGAAGCATGTGTTCCTGCTCCAAGTATTCTAGTCAGGAAACAATTAAATCGCCTGGGAAAGTTATTGCTTTGTCCTTTTTAGTGATCCTTCATATGGAATTTTGAGACATTCCTACAAATTATTATAGAGAAGAAAAAAAAAAGGGATTGTAATTCGTATACAATTTCTTCTATTCCTATTCTCCATAAGTTTTTCATTATTTTTTTTTGCTTCATATAATTTTTCATTATTGATATTTTCCCCTACTCTAAGTACTTTCAATTAGATTTGATGATCAATGAATTTGTGTTGTATAAAATATTAAAATTTATGTATTCGTATTTTACATAAAAATTATGTTATAATTTATGTTGCATATAAAAATATGAATATATATTTTTTATTGTTAAATTCATTAGTATAGTTATGATTAAAATTTTAAATTATATTATTTTTATATTTTTTATATAATATTTATATCATATCACTATATTATATTTTAAATTATCATATTCATTTTAAATGAATATAGTTTCTTCAATTATATGTACACGTAAACAAGTGAACAAGAATTCTATGCAAATTTTCTGTAATGGAAGATGCAGGAAACAATCATCAAATCAAGCAAAAAAAGAAAGCAAAACTCATCAAAGATTGCAATCGTATCAAGCCCTTTTTTTTTTTTTTTTCACAAATAAAGTTGAAATCTGAATAACCACTTTTTTTTATTTTTGAAATTCAAAACACTTGAGTTAGAGAGAGTTTTGACCACCAATTCCTGGACGTCTCTTGCTCTTCTACAAATTGATTCCATAATTTGGGATAAAGAACAAGCTTAAGCTATCAAGCTATCAAGTTTAGATTTTTCCCAAGCCAGAGGTTTCCTCTAAATAACCAACCGACATGTCTTACAAGTGGCTACTCTTGATTGGTTTCAACTACAAACAATCCCAGCCAAACCTTCCAGCCTGCACGTGACAAAAAGAAAAAAGAAAAATTGTGTGTTAAATTATGGTGGATTTGGGTGTTGGATGGGTCCCATAGTTTCCCATTTATTTTCCACAGCCCCACATTTCTCAATCTTACTACATGCAAGGCCAAGATTTACATACTACAAATACGACAAAGTTGATGCCGAAAAATCAACGGTAAAGAAAAAAAATCACATGGTTTTTGTCATATAAAACGATGTTCCATGTGGATGGTTGATTCGTTGATGTGACTGGATATGTCGTCACTCTCATGAATGATTGAAACAAGAAATCCGACAGAAATATATTTGATTTTTTTTTTTTATACTTTTGACAGGTTTTGAGGAAAAAATAGATTAAAAAAATTGCAGACCAATTCCTGTTTTGGTGGAAGAAGCCTACCAAACATGTTTTATGAAAATTTCCTTTACTTTAGGTTTCCATGGATGAGGGAAAAAAGGAATAAAGGATCATCAGTTATTAATTATATTAAAAAATTAATGTATAAAAAGTAAAACAAACTTATTTAATCGTATAATTCAATAATTAAAACAATTTTTTTTAAAATTGAAATTTGAGCCATAAAAATATTAAAAAACAGAAGCCATAATAGGGGCACGAGGTCAGAATTTCCTAGGAAGTGGACGTGGGTCAAAATTTCCTGTATGGTCAAACCACCGCCACGTCACTTTAACCGCACCTCATATCTGACCTGGCAATCAAATTCAGCCCCAAATGTCGCCAATCCTCTACATCCCATCTCACTTCAAACAAACGAATCCCACCTCTCATGTTCGCTTTTAACCACTAAAAACTCAAATTTACAAATCTTAATTCCCAAAAATACCCTTATATTACCAAACTGTCAAAAGCTTCCCCTCCTCTCGACTACAGATAATAAAACCCCGTAAATAATTGTAATTACTTTTCACCCGCTGTTAAAATATAATTGGCCGACTCCATAAAGTACTCAGCAATATAAACCAAAAAAGAACTCTTTTTCTCTGTGGGATTTTCTCTCTTTCAACACAAAGCTGATTCTTGGAAGTGAAAGGAGAGAGAAAAAAAATTGTGGGATTTCGATTCCATCACCGTTTTTTCTGATTCTTCTGCAGAATATCTGAAAATCTGGGTGGTTTTTCTTTTTCCTTAGGGTCTTTTTAAGGTACTTGTTTTATTGATTTTTGTTCTTCTTAAGTTTCCATTGAATCTTCTTTATATTCGAATGTTGAAACACAAGAAACGAATTTTGGGTTTTTTCTCTCCTTTGTTTTTAATCCATCAAAAAGGAAGCTTTAACTTCAAAGCTCCCTTTTTCGAGGTCCCTTTGAATTCAGTTTGTAATTGATTGAGAAAATGTAAATGAAAATTGAAAAAATGAATAAGATTTTTCAGTTTTATGGTTTTTTTTTTAAGTCAAATTTGAGAAATCTATTTTTAGCTGAAAAAGGGGCCTCTTTTTTTTTTTCCTCTATTTTTGGATTTTTTTTTTATTTGATGGGGCTGGTATCACAGGGTTATGTCTAAATTTATTATATTGACAGTAAATGTTTTCAAAGACTGTATTTTTTGTTGCTAGAAAAGATTAACAAAAACTTTTATTTTTTTAGCACAAAAATGGATATTGTGAGATGAAGCCGAGGAAATGTGAGGTTGAAAAAGTTTAACTTAATGGGTTGTTTCTGCTACATCTAATTGCTTCAGTGAATTTTGGGTTGAATGCAGTTTGTTTAGTATGTGATTTGTCTTAAATGCAGAAAGTGCTGATCAAATTGCCTATCTGCTGATTTGGAGTTTGCTGGGGGTTGGATATTATCTGTATTTGTGTTTCACATTACAAATTTTTTGGTGCCAAAACCAGCTTGCTGTGGTTGATAATATATATGGCTGTGGCCTTTACTTATCTTTCATGGTGGTTATGGAGTGGGAAACATCAAGAGCCTAGAATTGCTAATGGAGCTTCTTTAAGTTCTTCGCCGGATTCAGGTCTATGGGAGTCGGATAATCTGAAGTTTCCACTGGTTAAGAGGGCTAATATGGCTTCTTCATCAAGAAGAGCTAAGAGGAAATGGCATAGCAGGGAAGAAAGAAAGATTGATAGGGAATATGATGTAGTGCTTGTGCCATCTGATGGAGGGTGTGTTTCAGGGTCTGAGTCTGATTGTTCTGATTACTCCATTGGATGGTTAGAGCCTCATGGACCTGGATTCCAGAGTGATGATGATTCAGACAAAAGTTTTGCTGTGCTGGTTCCATGTTATGGGCACAGTCAGGATGATATGGTTGAGGATTCAAAGAACAACGTTCTGGGTGCCATTGTGAACATTCCTAACAATTATTCTACAGGTAAGAACCTTTTTCTTACCCATATTTAATATTAAGAATATTTATTTATTTATTTTCAATTTTTTTGTTACTTGTTGCTTAGCAAGTCAATAACTATTTTCAATGTTAGGTTTAGATTTGAAGTCTGTGATATCATATTCATAGCAAACAGACTGGAGATGAATTATGGAAACTCTATATAGGGGTATTTCTCATTAATGAGCCTTTGAAATGTTATTTAGCTATATAATTTATCAAATAAAATAAAACAGTATATTATTTATGAATATGGAAAAGGATAGGATGCAGCACGGCACTTGGCAGGTCATTGACAGCTAACACTATTTTAGCTTCTGGTGTTGTGAACTTAAAGCGTGTTCAACGCTATGAACCCAGATGAAACTTTTTTTTTTGTTTTTGAACTTGTCCGCTGATATTGATGAATTGCTTGAATTGTTCAAGGGGTTGACAAAATGTTCAAGATTGCATCAGGAAAAGTAGGGGCAGACTAGCAATCTCTAGGGTTTCGACATTTAACATGTTATATAGCTTTTTTGATGACTTTGATGCTGTAATAGTGATTTGAAAACAAGGAGATAAGTGATTTTAGTTAGTTGTAAGATTTATACCACATCGAACTTTGAAAAGTTTCATTCAGATTTTCATGAGGATGAGTCCTCTTACCTTTAAATAAACTTTTGTGAAATTTTAATTTATTCTGTCTAGCTCTTCTTTTACTTACTCTTTCTTTGATTGGCTTGTTGCTCTCATAACTTCCTATGTCGTGCATACCGTGCTGTATGGTATCTGAGTGCACTTAATTTGAAAGAGTGACCTATAAAATCATTTGGGAGATCCTCCCTTAAAGAGTGTTTTCAAAGTTTTATGCTATGTAAGCTTAGCAAGATCTGTGTGATGATTAAAATCTCAAATAAACATTTGAAGTACCTTTTTAATTTATGATTGGAGAATTCAGGACCTTGAGCTTTAGGGTTCTCTGCGTAAAGGTCATTCCACTTTGGTAGATAAGGCTGAAATGGTTGGTGGTTCCAACTTGGGAGCTGCTGTTCAGCCATTGTCCTTAGTTTGTTACTTTTACTGACTAACTGCTCTTTGTTCAGCCCTTCTAAACTGATTCTCACATTGGTTGCATCTCTCTTGTATATTTAGGTTATATTTAGGTCATACTGAAGTCTATTGAATTCCTATTAACTCATGCATTGTTATCTTTTACTAGATTTCTTTGAGGCAATCATTGCTGAGCCATGTGCTTTCTTATAGGTTTCCAATCATTGTCATTTATGCCTTGCTTCTTAACCACAATCATGCAGTTCCTACTGTCCTCTTTATACTTGAAAGTTTGTTTTCCGCTCATTTACTGGGTGTCTTGTGTTGTATGAACTGCTGCTTTTGGATTAAGTGGCAGAAAAGTGAGGCTGGGAACTGTTATTTCTGAAAACGTTCTGTAAGCTTTGTAGAATTTGCTGAAGCATATGTAGTGTCTGTCTTTTTCTTTGTGTTCTATGTGCAGAAAGCAAAAAGTATGTGGAACAGTGGCTCTCTTCCCTGCGAACTAGCTGATATCCTGGACTGTTGAAGATTGCTTATGAAATCTGAATTCTGTTGCTCCATCTGCAGGAAGAACATGGTCTGTGTTATAAATATTTGTATAAAGATACTGTACATAATTTAAAATTTTTAAAAAGATGAGCAAATGAATGTGGATAGCCTGCTTTATTGTTGCTAATGGAAGAGAATCTGAGCTAGTATCAACTGATGAGCAGCGGAAATAGCTTAAGGGACAAACAACCATGTTGGACTAGACATGTCCTTTTCTGCTGTTTCCTTTGAGACCTGGAGAGGAAGAAGCTGACCGTATTTCTTCCATGTATGCTATCCAGATAAGCAGATTGATGTTCATTTGTGTGTGTGTGTGTGTGAGAGAGAGAGAGAGAGAGAGAGATTTCTTGGGACCTGTAGCTACAAGACAAATGGGGAAAGTTGTGTGTGTGTGTATTCAGTTCTTTGGTGTAAACATGGTTGTACATACTTAAAAACTGAAGCAGATTTATGCATTTGTCTTATTTCTGTAAATCATACTGGGGTCGGCCATTCTCTGCTAATTTTTATCACTATTGAAACACAGTAAGAGAACTTGTCATTGTAAAGGTTGCCGTAGTTTCTCCTTGTCCATAAAGAATAAACGAGCGTAGTAGCGGATGACCAAGTGGTTTTGTTACTGTTCCCGGTTATGATTAAGACAAGGAGCCGAAAGTGACAAAAATAAAATAGTCCACATGGCTGCCCTTGGCCATGCTGAAGGAAATAAACCTAGAATGAATTTGTTAAAGGTTAATTGTGTTTGACTCCAAAATGCTCTTTTTGTTCGTCAGCAAATGACTTTCAGAACATGTACTTTTTGACAGAAAAGATCAAAATAGCTGTATGATTCTTGTAAGAAGATGAATCAAGAATCATAAATTACAACTTAGGGTCCTTTGGCAGCTTGACGCTGGGATTCCCACCGCACCACAGCTGCATTTTATGATTGCATCCAACCTAACAGAACCTATTGAGCCCTCACGGACTCTGCAACTTGCATTTACCTTTGTAATTTTCTTAGACAACATGGAAGATTTCTCATTTCTTTTTCACTTTAATTCTAGCAGGTTAAATACTTCTGCAGATAGAATTTGATTATTCATTCCGGTTCGGATTCCTCTATCCCTTTTATCTTATTGTCCTTGTCTGTTTATTCTTTCATTCTCTATTCATGGAATTTGAGATCAATGCAAATTAAGGTTTGGGCTGGCAAAAGAATCAAATCCTTTGGATGTAAGCCTTTCTTTTTGAGAAAAACCAGATAAAAGCTAGGACCTCATATTTCATGATTGGAATTAATCGGGCAAGAAATGGCTGAATCCTAAACCGTTAATCCAGATGGTGGCAGAGACTCAGATTGAATCCGGCAGCTTAAACTAATTGTTGCTTCCTAAAGTTAGGCAATTGCCTTCAATACTAACTCTATATTATCATGTACATGCTATCGAACCCGATCCAGCCCAATTTAACCATAAAAAATTAACCAGAATCCACCAAACTCGAAGAGTATATAGATTATAGTCATGAAAAAACCTATAATTAAAGCTACAAGAAAAAGGTATAATCGAAGCTACTTTTCTCTTTTCCCTTCCACGAGAACTATCAAAGGAATAACACCACTGTTGAAACTAATTTCTTTCTTTTCACAGGACTCTTTGCCAGCTAAATCTACAATATATTTTTCTTAAAATAGAGAGATATATTACTAAAAACAAGATTTCATGTCTCACTATTTAGCTTGGCCAGTTTCTGCTTTGCTCAAAACCTCCAGATTCTTGGTGCTTCCATCATTTAAAGAGGCTTCAGCAGGTGACTTAATCATGCTCTGGTTCCTGCTACTCTCTTCAGCTGCAGGTTGATTGTCACTTTTTTTAACCAATGAATAATCAATCTTACTATCATTGCCAGTTTGACTCTCTTCAACCAGGTTTGCTGTGACATCTACTTGATCACTCTCAACCATTAATGTCCCATTAGGATGTTCAGCAACAGCCTCAAGATCCTTAAACTCATTTGGATTTGATGCGGCTGCTTTGTGTTCTTTAACTCCCTCACCTGGTTCATTTTTTGACACACATGCTCCATTTTCTTGCACCTGCTCTTTAGGCAAACTGTCTGACACAGAACCCTTGATCTCTAGTGCTGCCTCAATTTCTTCCTTCAGAGGACCTTCAACAGTTGGACCAGACGTAACGGCATTACACTGCTGAGTTGAAGCATTTAATAATGAGGAAGAAGCAGGAGTATGCTCAACTCTGTACGTCGCTGATTTTACTGAACCAGGATGCAAGGTAGAAGATGAAACAACAGGAGAGGAGACTGGTTCAGCTGTTAGGCCAGTACTAACATATTGCACATTAGAATGAACCTCCAAATGGGAAGAGGTTCCACCGGGCATGAGAGGTTTAACAGAAGAGCCACCTGAAGCCATAATATGAATAGCATTTTTGGACTGAGCAGCCTTAAGCAGAAATGCAGCAGCCTCTGGGCTACCAATGCGGGCCCCAGCAGCAACTGCAGTGGCATCTAGGATTGAACCTGTACAGGGAAAAGATTTTGCTGGTGGCTTTTTCAAACTTACCCGAGATTTTAAAGTAGAAGCTGATGGTCCCCTAGGGGAGGTTTTTGTAGTCATGGGACCTTGTTGAGACTGATTTGGGACTTGGACTGAAGCAACAGGACCTTGCTGAGACAGATTTTGGGCGGGGACATAAGTAATTGGACCTTTTTGAGGCTGATTGTGGGTTGAGACAGAAGTGATAGGACCTTGTTGAGACTGATTTTGGGCTTGGACAGAAGCTTCACCACTAGTAGTTGGAAGTGCAGGATTACTGGATGAGGGCTTCAAACCTGGCCGAATAACTGAAGTTAGTCAATTAGAAAGAGAACAATGGACTTTCCATTTTCAAAGAATAAAGCTGGAAGGAAAAAGAAGGTTCCCATAATTTCGTCACTTTATAAGTTTTGCTAGCTTGTTCAAAAGAGTGTTGCCACATCAAACACTTCAAAGCACTAAAATTAGCATTAGACGGAGAAGATTACCAGGGTTATTTGTACAAGCTGCCGTTAAGTTTTTATCTGGCATATCAAGGGCTAAGGACAAAGCACTACGTGTAGCCAACTGTGCCTCAGAAAGTTGGGGAATAGTTGAGTTTCCTTCCACATTTAAGTTGACAAGTCGCTTCTTAATGATAGTCCACCTCTGCAAATATTAGAACAAACTTGCAATTAGCAGCAGAAAAAGCAGAGAAACAACCATTCTGGCAGGGAGCCTTCATTTGCATGATCCAACTTATAGTCATCCAATCAAGATTCACAGAATTGATCATAAAAATAAAAAATTAATATACCGTTGAAAGAATTCCGTTGCCGGGATTTGAACCCGGGAAAAACTGGGCAAGACCCAGACATCATGACCGGACTAGATTACAACGGATTGTTATTCTAGAGCAGCGCTGCATGACTCAAAAAGGGAAACAAAAGAAGAAGCTGATTGTTTGTGATATAGAAACACAAACACCAAAAGTAAAACCAGTGCTGTCAAATTTTACCACCGTTCGGAATATGTTTTCAATTCCGTATAAACCAATAAAGCATATGGTAATGATATCACTCACTTAAAGAAAAGGGGGAAAAAAGAACATGCGCACAAGCATGTACGTATAAGATAAGGAAGTACGAATGCATCATGCCAAACTTAAGAAGGGAGAAAGGGCATACAATACAGAAAATGAGAACAACTAAGTTTTCTCTATCAGATAATCAGTCCGTAGCATATAGATGATAGAAACAACTAGATCTCCCAGGCAAGATACAGCTGGTGACTGCTATCAACCAAAAGATACCTTTCACATCAACTAAGCATATTCAATTTAACATAGAAAGACAGAATTACTTCAACAAATCAACTAACTTTCACATCTACTAGATGTTTTACTTGAAATCTATTAATTCCTATCTCCTCAAGCAACACATACAAAACTAGACTTTGTTTATACTAATTTTATTACTTCAATGAATTTACTAACTTTAAACCCTACACAAAAAAAAAAAAAAGACTGGTGCATTGCGCCTATGCATAAATAGCAGGATTGATATGAGACTAAAGGAAACAGACACAAAATAAACAAGTCAATTTGGATAATATTTAGAAAACAACCTGAGCCAGCTGTGCAGCAGTCCTATTTCCCTTGAAGTCTCCTCGCAAGATGTTTGCCCAATTCCCAACACCACATTTCTGCACAGCAGCAATAAGTTCCATATCCTCTGCTTCCGACCAAGGTTTTCTTTTCCTTCGAGAAGACTGGTTTACACCAGCTGATCCACTTCCTTCCAATGTTTCAGCCGATGTCACTGCAGGCAGAATTTGTTTCTGAACAGAAACTGGAACAGTTATGTTCGTCCCTTGCATTGAGCAAGTGTGCTGCGAGTTCTCTGAAGACACTCTAAATGACTGCACATTAGGTACATTTATTCTTAATGAAGCCTCTACTGTTGAGCTGTTTGCGCGACTCGAGTCACTAGGTAAACCAGAAGCAATCAGTACCTGACAAGAAGAACAATCTGAGCTAACTAGCTTGGAAAAAAGTGAGCAAACAGATAAATCAGTTTTGAAACTTGAAGAAGAGAGCAGGTTGTCAGACAGCCAAAACCATTATCTGTTTGATTTCTATGAGGTTAAGTTATCTGTTTGATTGAGGTTACAAGTTAGCAATTGACCAGATTAGACCAAAAACAATTTTCTACAAGTAACACTCCATATGACCTAAAACTATTTTCTACAAGTAACACTCCATATGACCTAGGCGAATTAGATATTTGCAAACTTGTTAATGTTCCAACCGTTAGAACACCCAGAACCTAATTACGTAACTGGTAAGAGATTCTACCAGCCAGGACATAAATGGACTTGGTGTTAACTTTTTCACTTGTCATTTAAAGTTTCTATAGTAGCATTTACCTTTTTCCACCCTAAAGAATTTAAGTGATCATCATCAACCACAAATGACAGTAAAAGATGTAAAACCTTTATTTTTCTTTTTTGTGGAAATTACATTTATTTTACCTACCTTCACACATGCTGCAGCTTCTGCTGAAGCTTCACTACTAACAGAAGGGCAACGTTCCAATTCATATTCTAAGTCACTGTCATCATCCTGTAAAATAAAAATGTTAAACAAATGAGACTAGAGCCATAACAACTACCAAGAACACTTCTCCTTCAACCAAAAGGACTTATTTAAAATTAAATAACCATGACTTTAGCCCTTTGATCAGAGGACAAAATATGATTAATAATTCTAAATTCCAAAGCCAAACCAAGACCATAGCACATTGGCAGGCTATAAGTTAGAATATCTGGAAACATATACACTCTCAATTAACCAAAGTATCCCAATATACAGTAAAGATTTACATGATATTGAAATAGTATATTAATCTAAGGTGTATTTTCTTTCATTTCAGCATACACACATCACATAAGGCAGTAGGTAAACAACTTCAAATCTTTTAAATTAAACCCTTGGCAATTGCAAAAGATAGAAACATATTTACCAAAGGTTTAAAAGAAAAACAAAAACCAAAAAACTGACCAAGGGTTCAGCCCCATCTTCCAATTTCTCAAGCAAGGCGTCGCGGTAGGCCAAATGGTGCCATAACATCTGGTACTCCCTAGCATTAGAAATTCCAGTAGAAGTCTTCTTGACTAAAGCATTCCAATTCAGCTTCACACCAGGAAACTGTGCCACTTCTTGCAACAGTGCCAAAATAGTAGTTGCCGTATACCTGCCCAAACCAACATTTTAAAGCAAAAAACTAAGTAAAGATATAACTAATGAAAATAAGGGCAAAAAAGATTTTTTTTTAAATGAAACAAAAAGGAGGGACCTTTGTAGAATAGTAGAGATATCTTCCTCACTGATTGAACCCTTCTTCTGTTTCTTTGTTTTCTCAATCATAGTTATAGATTGCTCGAAAATTGCATGTTATGGGTGGTGAAATTAGTGAAAAAAAAAAAAAGAACTTGGGGATTTGGTATCAGTCAAAACCCTAGGTAGGGTTTAAGATGGAGAGAAAGGGGAAAGCTAAAACCCTTTCAATGGAGAGAGAGAAGTTGAAGGCGGATAAGAGGATAGGAAGAGAGGAGAAACGTGTAGAGTGATTGAAGGGAAGGGGACCGTTAAAGAACGTGATGATCACGCGCCTGACAGAGTTCTTGCGGGGAAAGAAACGGGAAGTTCTCTGGGAGGGGATCTTATTTGTTTGTTTTAAGCCTTGAAAGGGCAAACAGAAAATATATAAAAGAGACGGTGATTAGCGGGATTTGGAAATGAAGAAAATGCGGGGAGGATTCTATAATTGCGTTTGCTTTTATGATATCCTAGCGATTGGAACATTTAAAAAAAAAAAAAAAAAACTTTTTGTGCAAAAAAATTGATTTCGACCGCATTAAAATTAACACAGTTGAAAGGTTTCAAGTAACAGTAGCGCTATCAATTGGAATTAGATTTGCGCGATTAAAATATTATTATTTTTTATTTTTTTATTTTTATTATACCCTAAGATATATATATTAGAAATTATCCAGATTTCGTCTAGGGTTGATTTGTTCGACAAAAATCGTAATAATATTGATTTAAAATTTTTTTAACAGGAACGTTATCAAAATATAATACAAAAACAAAAAGGAAGAACATAAAGACAATTTGTATTGCATTTGACAAAGCAATGTTAGCTAAGAAAAACTTTAGTATTTGTGCTAATAATCTATAAAAATTAACTAAATAATTTGATAAAGTTTTTAAAAAAATTCCTATTGTTTTGTAGGTAAGTCAAAGATATATGAAAAGAATTTGATATCTATTTCATCATTAAATAAATAAAAATATATAAACCTTAAAAACTAAGTAATAATAATAATAATAATAATAATGTATCAAAAGAAATTATAAAACCATTATACAATAAAAAATAACAAATAGATAAGATCAATGAAACATGTAAATAATAATATATCAACATCCATGGAAAGGTTAATTTGCAAATCAATATTAAAAAAGCATAACTTTTGCATTTTGTTAGTGAATGTTCTATAAAAACAAACAAAACAATGTTATTTTATCAATGCATGTGATAAAGTATTATAAGTGAGTTTAAAATTTGAAAGTAATTAATTTTTTACATGTGAACTAGCACTCTATGAAAGGAAATTACTACTTGTTAGATGGTGGGATGAATAGAAATATATAAGAGATTAAAAAACAACTAAAAACATAGACAAACAAACTATGCATTTTTATAATAGAGCATGGCAAATCAATTTATAAAAAAAAAAAAAAGATTATAATATCTATCTTTAAAATGGTATCTATAGAATAGTTACAAGAGTTTCACAATGTTTGCTTTATCTCTCTTGTCCAATTTGGATAATTTTATCATGGTATATTTGATATGTAATCCATCTGAAAGCTTTTCAAAATCAACTTTAACACTTATTTCTTGTTACGTGACATCACCAAGACGATATAATCATTTTGCTTCATGATGAGCTATCATAAAACTAAAAATACATTTTTAATGAATTTGGTCATATGCTACAAATGGTGAACACATTTTGCAAAATCTTTAATGGAAGAATGATGTAGTTTTTGTGGCAAAAGTTGAAAGAATAAAATAACATGAAGAAATGGATCTAAGTAAAAAGTGGTAGTGATTCTAACCAATAAATTGCATCTATAAAAATAAGTAAGCAACACACGTACACATAAAGAATGACATGGGAATAATTTATATTTAAACATAAAATTAGATTAATAGAATAATGTAAAAAGGGAAATGTTATAAGATTTAATATCCAATGCTTTGAATTAATAAACATATAATAATATTAAGATCGATATAGAAAATTATCTTGATATTCAATTCATGAAGATCAAATAACAAACCTTGTATGATCAATGTAGACATTCGGCATAAAACATCATGACAAATGTAGAGAATCTAGTTAGAAATTGTGGACACTCAAAAACAAATACACCACTTGAGAAAATTATAAGAAAAAAGTTTTAAAAAACATATGAATAATAGATAATATGATACCTAAGTATGATTCATAGTAGCCAACAATTTCTTTGATAAGGATTTCAATAAACATAGCAACCATAAGGCCTAGACATTGCTCATACCAACAAAACATCCTTCAACAGAGCTAGCATAAGACTCATACATCCTAAAAACAAATGATTATTAAGATACCAAGCTTTGTTTAATTTTTTCCCAATATCCAAATATTATGTAATAACAAATTGATAGATGTAATAATTAATAAAAGCATAAATTTAAAAATTCAAATCTCGCTCACAACTTGACATAAAAATAATTAATCAATAATTAAAATCAAAGAATAATTAAATCAATTCAAATCTAAAATAGAAATATTAACAGTGTGGCACTAATGCACTTCGTCTTGAATATCTTCTCCCTGGCTTTCATATCTCTAAGCAATGCTTGCTTAAATGAAATCGTTGGTTTTTATTTCAAGTTATGAGTTTTTTCAAAATAAGAGAGATCATAAAAGGAAAAAGGTTAGGGATTTTTTGGTTTGTTCCAATAGAGAAGAAAATCATTTCTATTTTTTACTAGAAAATGTTTTAAACAACAGATTGAATGCCATGATAGGAATAAGATGATATGTGAAACACCAACAAAATGGTGGACGAGGAGAGGCAAAATATTTAAAATGAGAAAAATATGAAAATGTCATAAAAATCAATGAATAAAAAATGAGAAAAATGAAAATATCTTCAGAAAGTATAAAAAAAAAAATCATCCATATCCTTTTTGAATAGATGTAGTTAAACATGAACTCATAGACAGTTTTGTATAGATATTAGATGTTATATATGAAAATAAATATTTTCAATTTCTACTATATAGTACTACTATTGAAAGTAGAGTAACTTAGCATAGCAGTTTTGATTGACAAAAGATATAGTTTATCTTGAGACAAAAGCGACTAATTACGCCAAGAAAAAATAAAAGTGCCAATAAGTCAATTACTTGTTTAGTTTGTTTCTAACTGTGTTAATTTAGAGCAAATGTTCTAGTTCATAATTGAGAAAATAGGTTTTTTTTCATCAAATACACTGAACATGATAAGCAAGAAAGACTTTTAAGTATAAGCAATAACTAAATATCACTTTTACAGGCTTGACAAAACTAGGTATGGTATTAATATTAAGCACAAAATTTGAGTTACCATCACACTATTATTCCCATTCCATGGTGATTCCTCCAATACCACTTTCACTCTTAATGATGAAAACACCTAAAGAGTATGGACAATTTATGCAACAACATCAAACTTTTGAAAATTAATAAAACTAGCATATTTCATCCCCTAAAAAATATATCATAAAAACCATTATCAATTTACTTAAAAGACATAAATTGATATTATAATTAATAAAACTGACGTATAAATTGTGGTGTAACCAAATCTAATATGAACCAAATCTAAATTGTGTAAGTAAAAAACCAAATCTGAATTATCTAATGGGATGTTAACTATGAAAAATTCCACCAAATGTACCAAAAGAAATGGTGTTAAAAAGTGAGAAGTCATACCAAATGTATCGTATCAATGTCTATAGTAAAACATGTAAACAATTTTATATGTATGTTAGATAGTAATATGTTCTCGATTCGTGTTAGGTTATCATTTTATACTTTTAATGATATATGGCATTGGTAAGATATAAAAGTGCTTAAATGCAAAACACATAAGCAATTAAATTGAATTTCATAAATTATAATTTAAATTTGTAAGGAAAAAATATGTAACCAAACATAAATGAATCAAATTTTTGGATCTAACCTGGAATGCTAACATTTGACCAATAACAAATTTTCATAACTCCAAAATTTTTCAAAGTTCATATGAATATCCTTTTAAAAAAAATGTACAATAAATAAATAAGAAAAACTACAAATCTTGTACATAATTAATTCTAAAAAGCACGAGTTTGAAAACCTATATTTGAAACAGTTAAATTACTTCATAATACCCAAGCCATCATCTTTGTTTCATGGTGTTTGTTGCTTATAGTAGTTCAATGCTTAAAGGCAAGATATCCAACTCTATTTATGTTTTACAATTAATCAAATAACAGGTAATAAAAATTAGAAAAGACCAAAATAACAAAATTTAAGGAATAAAGCCATAATAAAGCAAATTGCCAATAAATGTAGTAGTCTAAAAAAAAAACATATGAGATTTATAAATGTATAATATGTACAAATATGGATGCTTAGCCACACCCCTTACATCCCTATATCCTTACATAAGCATGTAAATAGAAAGAGACTATTATACATACATACATACACACACATATAGAAAGAGAGAGGAAGAGATGCATATATATGTACCAATAAGATATACGTAAATATACATAAAAATGACATGAACAAAATCAAATAAGCATATTCATGTAGAAAAAATGATGCATAAAATCAAAATAGTCAGACTCTCTATTTTAAGTATTAAAGTTATAAAAAAAATTATCACTTAGTATCTTAAAAATCAAATCCTAATAATCACAACTCAAATATCAATCATTCAAAACAAAGCAAAGCTACCAAAACCTGAAAAAGAGATGCTTCAAATAACCTATTTATAGTTATGAATATAGATGTAAAATGATAAATATAATTTTAAATACTAAAAATATAATAAAATAATGATATAAAATGTTAAGTAATGTTATTCCTTCAAAAATTTTAAAATTTCTCAAGATTACTCTTCACAAATAAGCCAATAAAAAGAATTTCATTAAACATTAAAACAAATTAAAGAAAAAAAGTACTAAAAACTTAACTTTCTTATTTCTTCCAATGCATCCAACAAATGTAAGTAATCTTAATATGAATGAAAATTCTATTGTTGTAGTCACATAAATAAAAGCAAAAAATTAAATCCTAAATTCTTATTCTAAATATTTTTTAAGTAAAATGAAAGACCTATTAATCACAATATTGAAAAATATGAAGACAAATACTCAGAATAGGCCACACATCATAACATTTACAATTATAATTAAAAAGATAAATACATGTTTTTGAAACTCAATTAACATGAAGAATCAAAGGTGTAATAGAAGAAAAAAACCTTGAAGTTTACATAAAAAAGATAGACTTTTGTATAAAGTTGAACATAATAATTAGAATAAAAAAATTTATAAGTATAAAATCTAACATAATTAGGGGTATCATAAAATCAGGGAAAAAGATGTAAAGCACCTTAATCTTTTTATCTTTAAAATCTATATTTGGTTGGACTTGTAAAAATCATAACAAAATAAAATTAAATATATTAGATGTCATATTTAAATATATTAGCAAAAACAAAGATTAAAAAAAGAAAAATATAAAATCAAATTTTAAGAAAAAATAAAATAAATAACTGAAAAAGAAAAGCAAGATTGAAGCAGGAAGCATGTTGTGAAGAAAATATATTACT